GGCGTGGCAGGGGCGGGGGCAGGGATTCGGGCTCTAGAACAGTCGTCAGGCATTTCATTAAATGGCTTTGACTTTTTACGATAAAGAATTTTGATTGGAGTTGTTTGTTTTACAGCGTTTCACTTGTGTAACTCCAAGTGAGTTATCAAGTTCTTAGTCGCCTGATTGAAATTCATAAAAACGATTGTTTAAGAACACTTTTCTATAGAAACTATTGCAAAAGAAGAACTAAAATCCAATTGATTTTTCTCTTTTCCTCTCACTTTGTATTTTAGCCATATTTTCCTTGGGTTTCCCAGAGGCAAGTGGGAAATGCAGATGCCAGGGGAGATTAACTACAAATGGGTGGGGTGGTTCGTAGTCTTCGTGTGCGTGTGGTAGGTCCACCTTAAATGGTTTTTCTTTTTTTGTTTGGCCTGATGCAAGGCCCTCACATTGGCTCATAATTGGCTTGCACTTTGTCGTTTTTCCCTTCAGCCAACAGCTGCAAATATGTTTTATCTATATTGTTCAGGGAAAGGAAATATTTAAAAATATATTATATATTTTATATAAATAAATATAATATATATTTTTCCTGGCATTTCCAATCTTTTCTCCATAATTACAAGCGACATTTTCAAGCGAAATTCTAACGAAATTCCATTGGCCATAAAAAGAAATCGCCCAAGGTGTTTGCCGCTTGGATTTATCGATTATTTGCCATTGTCAAAGCAAATAATTAACCCCTACCGGTAGAAAGAGCACTCTTGGTGTTGCTAACATATTTTCATTGCAATTATTGACTTAAACCAATTAGAGCACACTTAAAATACGCCAACAATTAGTAGCGTGAGTAGAAAAATCAAAAAATTTAAACGCAAAGAATTCGTGTGCAAGCGAGATGGCAGCACAAAGAGAGAAGAGTGCAGAGCGAAGAGAAGCGAAGAGAGCTGGATATATCTTTTTATGACTAAATAATTTACAAATTGTTCAAAACTGGTTTCGCAGTCTTGGTTTTGCTGCTGCCGCCGTTGTTGCCACTTAATGCCAAGAATTCAGCAACAGCGACAAGAAAAATGCTCAATGAATTTTTTTTTTCCCCTCAACTTGTGTTTTATGCGCTGTTTTTCTCTGTATTATTATTATTACTATTTTTTTTATATTTTTCTCCATATCTCTAGTTTCCCATACAGGCAAAATAAACAGATGAGTAAGGGGAGCTTCTACCCTCGCTTTGTTTGATAAGACATAACGCCCACTAAAGTCGAGAGCTCGAACAAAGGAATCGAAAGCGCATATCATGTGGCTCTCAACCCAAAGCCGAGCGTTAAACTATTTTTTATGCGAATATTGTAGGCTGCGGATCAATTTGCAATATGGATCGAGTTGGTAGAATTATGGCTGGGTCCTAAAAAGTCAGTTTCAAGTTCATTAGTATGAATAGCTTTAAAGGCACTCAAGTATCTATAGAAATATGATTTATGCACCGCAAATTAAAAAAGTTGACCTTGATTTGTAATGGAACTAAAATTCATTTCATAATAATCCGATATACTCAAATTTTTTTAATATATTTATCTATTTCTTCATTTTATTAATCCCTATATCAAATTTCAGCTCATTTTCTCTAAGAGAATCCAAGTTACAATGGGTCATTATGGTTTTTAAGCCCTGTTATCTCATAATTCAATGCTATATATCTTCAATTGCAATAGGTCAGTTGGTAACACTCTATCACTCCACTTCTTTGCCATATTCTCGTTCTCCTTATTCCACTTCACACCTCACACACAGTCGAGCTTGCACATGTTGGCAGCAAAAGATAATGAAACGAAAAGCGAAAAACAAAAAGCAAAACAAAGCACTAGAAACAAAAAACTCTGATCGCACAGCTGCAAAAAAAATACGGATTCGGAATAGCAGAAGGAAATAAAAAAAAAATACAATACAATAGTATCTCATGTGCCCGAAGAATTTGAAGTGCAGCTAGCTGCAAGTCATTCGATTTCGTTGATCTTGCAAAAAGCCAAGTGAGTATACAGCTGAGGGGAAAACCATAGTTCTTTACTGGGTTTAAAATTCTAATTTTATTTTCTGCATGTTCTATTGTAACTTGGGTTCTTTTAATGGTATCGAGCTGAAATTTGGTATAGGAGGTTTTTGGGATCATAATAATGTATTTATTATCATTTCAACTTTTATTTTCCCCACACTTGCATTTGCTTGGGGAAGCATTAAATTGCATAATTAGCATGTTGGATTTGCTTCGGCGTTTTTGGCGCACGTGATCGCGAAATGGAAAGCGTCTTATCTGTTGGCCCCTCTGATTTTTTACTCCCCTTTTTTTCTCTTTTTTTTGCACCTAATTGCAACTGACACAGTTTCGTCTTTTGGCCAGACAATGAAAGCAAACGAAAATTCACACACGTTGCAACAGATCGGGCACCATATTCCCATTTCCCGAACCCCGATCCCCGCGAGATCCCAAAGCCACACCGGAAATCCACAGGAGAAGCCTTCGGTTTCGGACTATTTATGGTTTGGGAAAACGTCTAATTAGTGCAGCATTTTCTCCAAGGTGCAATAAGCAAATTATGGCACTTATGCCCCCTAAAGAAATGATGGAGCTTTTACTTTAAACCCTAAAATATCCTCTCGAATTATAATAAACCCCGCAGTTCCTGTAAGAATCTTTCACACGCTTATGTAAGGGTCTACAAAAAATTCTTATAGGAAGTTCCCATCTTAATAATGACTTAATCGTTTCGACAAGCACAGAAAAACACAACTCATAATCATTATTAAAAAATAAGAAAAAAAAAGAGAAGAACCCCCGCGCAACGAAATTGAATTCGAATCAGAATTTTCCCTGGAAAATTCGGGCGAGTCTTGAACTTTTGATTAATTATAGAGGACCCCAGCGGATTTCAGATGTTATTTCTGATTAATTAAGGTCTCTCTCTCGCTCTTTTCGCCCTGTAAAGTGCATTTCTCGACCCTTTTTCCCTGCGTCTTTTGGGGTTACCTGTTGACTCGCCCCGAAGAAGATTGAAATCGGGTTCAAACGAGTTCAAAAAGAAATAAAAATGTTCTTTTGATTCCCGACTGACTTTTATTATAATTCGAGTCTTCTGTTCCTCCTCTTTCTTCTTCGATTTGTTGGTTGTTGTTATCATCTTGCGCTCTTTTCTTTCCTCTTTTTTTTTGTACACTGTCACTCACTTTTTCGGTTTGTTTTTATGGCTTCGTCGGGGGCTTATCATTATTCAAATATTTTACCTAGGCTCTGTTTCTCTTCGCCGTGATCTTCGTTATATGCGTGTGTATGTATACCTTTCCCCCCGATAAGCGCCATTGAAGAACCTTTTCTGGTTCGGTTCAATTCTAGTTTTTTGGGTTCTTTTCTCCTGTAATTACATCACTCTCAAGTGCAGCGTTTCCGCTCTTGAGAAAATTGTTTACGGAACTGCGGGAGAAATGACGGCGTGAGTTTTTTTGGGAATCACTCGAGAAATACAATCGAAAAATACAATTACCGGCTGGGGAATGACCAACAAATAGTTTATAGATTTGGGTAATCTTTCCAATTAGTTTAAACAAAAATATAACTCATATAAGGTGAGTATTGGGAAACACCTTTGCAAAATTACACACTTTCAAGTTAATGCTCAACAAAATAAATGTTTATAACACCTAATTAACGACACTTTCATTTTTAATTACACGTTTGTACTAGTAAATCAAATTATATAAACATTTCAACTCACTGTCAGGGTGGAATGAAATATTATCGTAAATAACAGCCAGAAGTAAAATATTTATACATGCTTGACAAAAAATAAATAGTTTTGGGTTTATTGGCCTAAATAATCGCATTTGTCAGCGGTTTTCCTGAGGTGGGTAAAAAACCTATAAAAAGATATAATGAAATATAGGAGCACCCATTTCTACGTAAAAAAAAGTTTCGCTACTAGTAATAAATACATAGTTACAAAATAAATAAATAAAAACCGCCCCTCCATTAATTTTCTAGAAATTCTATAAAAAAAATTCAGTATCGTTGCAATTAATGTTATGGTTTTATATGGTTTTATTCTCTAATAAAAAGATGATATTTATTATAGTAGCATATATAATCCATTTATAATAATACCTCATATGAAATATATAAAAAAAATTTAGAATCCTACTATTATTGCAAGTAATGTTATGGTATTATATCTGATATTTATGTTGAATAATATTGATATTTAATTATCTTATTTTTGATCATATAAACATTTCGAACAGGTACCCTTTATCAAATATTTAGAACACTTCTATTGTTGCATGAAGTGTTATATGGTATTACAGGTTAAATATTCTGTTATATAATGAGGATATTTCCTATAGTTGTAGATACAATCCCTGTATAATAATACCTTATATAAAATATATATTTTTTTAGAACCCTGTCGTTATTGCGAGTAATATTATTTGACATTTCTGCTGTAGAAGGATGATATAGTGGCATATATAATCCCTTACAATCCCCATATATTAATACCTTATATCAAATATATATTTTTTTAGAACCCCACTATTATTGCACCTAATTTTATGGTATTACAGGTTAAATATTCTGTTATATAATGAGGATATTTCCTATAGTTGTAGATACAATCCCTGTATAATAATACCTTATATAAAATATATATTTTTTTAGAACCCTGTCGTTATTGCTAGTAATATTATTTGACATTTCTGTTGTAGAATGATGATATAGTGGCATATATAATCCATTACAATCCCCATATATTAATACCTTATGTCAAATATATATTTTTTTCGAACCCTACCATTATTGCACATAATATTATGGTTTTTTATATGATATTTCTGTTACATATTGGCGATATTTCCTATAGTAAAAGATACAATCCCTGTATAATAATACCTTATATCAAATATATATTTTTTTAGAACCCTATACATAATATTTATGTTTTATAATAATGATATAGTGGTAGATCCCTTACCTTGCCGGCTGCCTTGATGTAGCGTCGCGTGGCCTCCTTGACGAGATCGCTGACGAGGAGTTCGCCGGAACCGCAGGGAACCAGAATGCGAACGTCGCCGAAGCAGACGGTGACCTTCATTTCGTACTTTTCGTATTAACAATAACTACTATTATTATCTTTTGTCGGCTCTCGAAATGCAATGCACTTTCTATTTTGCACACACATATGCACTTGATTATTGAATTCGGCGATCGTTTCTTCGTATTTTTCGGAATTTTTCCTATTACTACTCTGTTTTTTTTTTAGGCTATGCTCGTCTGCCTGCAGCAGCTTGTTGTTGTTGTTTTTGTGGCGACCGCATCATCATCATGGTCGTTTTCCAGCTATTGCCATCCTTGTTGCTCCTGTGCACTTCCAGTGTGTGTTGTTGTTGGTTGTTAGGCAGCTGCAACAAAAGTTGGTCTAGGGCGGCATGGGTGCGAGCGAGACGGCCGCGTGCCTGGAAAAAGGATCGTTTTCCAGTATGTACTTGTGTAGTGGTCTTCTCCTCTTTCGCGCGCTCTTCGGTGTCTCTCTCTCTCTCGGACTCGAACTCTCTTTCGCTATTTACTTAGCATATTTTACCGTATCGCAGCGTTGTTATTGTTTGTTTTGTTGTTGTTGTTGTTGTTGTTGTCTTTGTGTGATTCATACACGCGCGCATTAAAGTAAAAAACGAGTTACAACAGCCATAACAACAACAATAACGAACGGGATTCGGCCAAGATCACTTATTTACTTATTTCCAGCGTTTTTCGCTCTCTCACTTGGCATTTGTTTTGGTCAAATTATTATATACTAAGCATTATGTATTTGAATTTACGGTTCGATCATTTTTTTACTCTCTTTCAACGTTGCTTGGTCGTGTTTTTCGTTTTCGGTTATCTCCTTTTTCGCCCGCTGGCGTCGCTCCTCTTTTCTTAGCACTTTAAACTACATACTATCTCGATCGCAACTGAATTCCGTCGTTTGCCGCCACTCTTATTAACGAACTATTTGAACTCAAAAAAAATGCAAAAAATCCACGGCGCTTCGATTATGCGCTCCGAAATTCGAAATTCGAACCCCCGAAACCCAGCAACAACAATAAAGTGTGGCCGCGTTGCTAAAGTGGTAAAATACCGAGGCTGGAAATGCACTATTTAATACTTACTTCGATAGTCGATAATCGATAGCGATAACAAATCGCAAATCGGAGTCGATTTTCTGCTCCCCGTTAACAGAAATGTTAAGATGCAACGTTTTCTTACATTGGCAGAGCAGCGGCAGAGGCGCAACAGTTCTGCCAATGTAAGAAAACGTTTCATCTTAACATTTCTGTTAACGCGAGAGTGAAAATGTACTTTTTAATGCCATATTTTGGAGATGCAGAATATTCGATTGATAACTTAGCCGGGACAATCACGAAAAAAACAAAAATATACACTTTTAAATACAATTTGTCCTTTTCCAAACATCCAATAATATTCCAAATGATTCGGGATTTCGGTTTTGACAAAAATATGAATTTTGCTCTCTGTTTTTTGCTATAACTTGGCCAAAAATGGTCCCACACCAAAAATAAATACTGTTTTGAACAGATAACTAAATAATAAAAAGGTCCATGACACTTTCCGGGTAATCTTGAAAAAATAAAATTTTTGTCAATTTTCCATTTTTTTTATAAGGGGGTACATCATGATTTTTTACGAAAAATGGCAAAAAAATAAAATGTTCTGGTTTAAATGTCAATCGATAGGAAATTTAACAACGAGTTCAGAAAGGTATGACAATCCATACTTTAAATCAATATTTTCATTGGTATGGTCAAAAAACCAATTATTTTTTTGTGAAAAATTGGAATCTAGGTTTTTGGTAAAAAAAATGAATTTTTTCTTTTCGTTTTTTTGCTGTAACTTGGCCAAAAATGGTCTTACAGAAAAAATACATACTGTTTTGAACAGATAACTAAATAATAAATAAGTCCATGACACTTTCCGGGCGATCTTGAAAAAATAAAATTTTGGTCAATTTTCAATTTTTTTATAAGGGGGTACATCATGATTTTGTTACGAAAAATGACAAAATAATAAAATGTCCTGGTTTAAATGCCAATCGATTGGAAATTTAATAACGAGTTCAGAAAGGTATGACAATCCATATTTGGATCATTATTTTCATTGTTACGGTCAAAAAACCAATTATTTTTTGTGAAAAATTGGAATCTGGCTTTTTGGCAAAAATATTAATATTTCCTTTTCGTTTTTTTGCTGTAACTTGGCCAAAAATGGTCCTACACCAAAAATACGCACTGTTTTGAACAGATAACAAAATAATAAATAAATCCATGACACTTTCCGGGCGATCTTGGAAAAATAAAATTTTGGTCAATTTTCAATTTTTTTATAAGGGGGTACATCATGATTTTGTTACGAAAAATGACAAAATAATAAAATGTCCTGGTTTAAATGCCAATCGATTGGAAATTTAATAACGAGTTCAGAAAGGTATGACAATCCATATTTGGATCATTATTTTCATTGTTACGGTCAAAAAACCAATTATTTTTTGTGAAAAATTGGAATCTGGCTTTTTGGCAGAAATATTAATATTTCCTTTTCGTTTTTTTGCTGTAACTTGGCCAAAAATGGTCCTACACCAAAAATACGCACTGTTTTGAACAGATAACAAAATAATAAATAAATCCATGACACTTTCCGGGCGATCTTGGAAAAATAAAATTTTGGTCAATTTTCAATTTTTTTATAAGGGGGTACATCATGATTTTGTTACGAAAAATGACAAAATAATAAAATGTCCTGGTTTAAATGCCAATCGATTGGAAATTTAATAACGAGTTCAGAAAGGTATGACAATCCATATTTGGATCATTATTTTCATTGTTACGGTCAAAAAACCAATTATTTTTTGTGAAAAATTGGAATCTGGCTTTTTGGCAAAAATATTAATATTTCCTTTTCGTTTTTTTGCTGTAACTTGGCCAAAAATGGTCCTACACCAAAAATACGCACTGTTTTGAACAGATAACAAAATAATAAATAAATCCATGACACTTTCCGGGCGATCTTGGAAAAATAAAATTTTCGTCAATTTTCAATTTTTTTATAAGGGAGTACATCATGATTTTTTTACGAAAAATGACAAAATAATAAAATGTCCTGGTTTAAATGCCAATCGATTGGAAATTTAATAACGAGTTCAGAAAGGTATGACAATCCATATTTGGATCATTATTTTCATTGTTACGGTCAAAAAACCAATTATTTTTTGTGAAAAATTGGAATCTGGCTTTTTGGCAGAAATATTAATATTTCCTTTTCGTTTTTTTGCTGTAACTTGGCCAAAAATACGCACTGTTTTGAACAGATAACAAAATAATAAATAAATCCATGACACTTTCCGGGCGATCTTGGAAAAATAAAATTTTCGTCAATTTTCAATTTTTTTATAAGGGGGTCCATCATAATTTTTTACGAAAAATGGCAAAAAAATAAAATGTTCTGTTTTAAATGTCAATCGATTGGAAATTTAATAACGAGTTCAGAGAGGTATGACAATCCATACTTTGAATTAATATTTTCATTGTTACGGTCAAAAAACCAATTTTTTTTTTCGCAATTTCGGTTTTTGACAAAAGTATAAATTTTTTCTTCTTGTTTTTTTTTGCTATAACTTCCCAAAAATGGTCGTACATTAAAAATACATACCGTTTTGAACAGATAACAAAATAATAAATAAATCCATAACACTTTCCGTGTGATCTTGGAAAAATACAATTTTCGCCAATTTTAATTTTTGTTTATGATTTTTTGCGAAAAATGGTGTCTCCGCTAAGGTAAATGCTTTTTAGACAGCTTATCGATATAATTTATCGGTACATCAGCGGTCAGTGCTGCGAAAGGTACTCAGGTAAAAGAAAAACGCAAAAATAAGTACCTTGGATGGGTAAAAGGTACACCTGTACTTATTAGATAAATACATAAAGTAAAATAAATATTAATTCCCACTATATGCCTCTTATCTTCTCTAAATATTGTACCTATAAACCGCTACTAGGTACACCGAGCTGCGATCGCCTTGCAACACTGATCCCGATAACCAATGGCGGCAATTCTAACAACAAAATAAAAACACATACGTACGCTCTATAATTGTAGTGAAAAGGGAAATAATAGTAGTTTTAACTATAAACGATAAATGGCAGAACCCCGCCCCGGCGCCTACAACTACAAGACCCTGCTGTGAGTATATAAGTCACCTTGGCTTCTTTACCTTAACCCACTGGGATCTCTAATCCCCGCCAGATGCACCAACATCCCGGAGCTCTTCCTGGACAAATATGTGGCCCGCTCGCACTTCGGCCGCTTCGGCACTCTGATGAACTTCGTCCTGCGACCGCGGCGAATGACCTGCACGGTGAGCTATGCCAGCGAGGAGGAGGCGGAGCTGGCCCTCCTCGAGGGCGCCACATTCCAGGGCCACCAGTTCGGGATTTCCTACGCGGAAAGCGATGCGGCGCCGGCCCAGAAAACGGAGGAGTGGGTGGATCCCGATGTCCAGGCGGAGCTGAGTGTTTTGCAGTCCGGTTGGCGGAGTGATTATGCTGCTTCCAAGCCAAGTGCTGCTGCTGCTCCTCCTCCAAATCCTCCCAAGAATCCCTCACCCGCCGCCAGGGAGCTGGAGAACGTGATGAGGCGACCGGCGCACACCAGCGAGGAGCGCTATCGCGTGCTGGAGGCCCGCGATAAGCTGATGCGACTGAATCAGGCGGCCAGAAAGAACCAGGAGGGCGGAGGAGCCACCCAGGGCCATTGCCCGGACATGTGTCCCGAAAAGGAGCGAGTTCTCCGCGAGTTCCAGCGACAGGTGGCCATCTACGAGCTGCAGCCGGGCTCCGATGAGCTGATCTGCCATGAGAGGGCATTGAAGCAATATTCCCGGAGCAGCGCCGACCAGGAGACGCCGCTTCCCCACGAGCTGCGCGATGAGAGGGCTTTGCACATGACCATGAGCTACCTGATGCACGAGATTATGGACATCTCCGAGCAACAGGAGTCTGGGCATCATATGGGCGACTGGTTCCACTTCGTTTGGGACCGCACGCGCTCCATCCGCAAGGAGATCACCCAGCAGGAGCTGTGCTCCCTGGGCGCCGTCAAGCTGGTGGAGCAGTGCGCCCGCTTTCACATCCACTGCGCCGCTCGCCTGGTGGCCGCCGATCCCAGTGTCTTCGATAGCAAGATTAATGCCGAGAATTTGACTAAATGCCTGCAGACCTTGAAGTATATGTACCATGATCTCCGGCTGAAGGGCGTTCAGTGTCCGCGGGAGGCGGAGTTTCGTGGCTATATCGTGCTGCTCAATCTGGCCGATGCCAACTTCCTGTGGGACATTGGCCAGCTGCCCGGGGAGCTGCAGAGCTGCCCGGAGGTGCGGCAGGCCATCCAGTTCCATTTGGCGCTGCAGGACACGAACTTTGTGCGCTTCTTCCAGCTGCTGGTGGACGAGGAGACGAGCTATCTGAGTGCCTGCATTTTGGTGGCCTACTTTACGCGTCTCCGGGTTCTCGCCTTGCATCGTTTGATTCAGGCTTATCGGGCGCCGCGCAAGGATGAGGTCTCCTCGCTGCCGCTTAGCTACATCACCGACATGCTGAGCTTCGTCAGCGAACAGGAGGCGGCCGACTTTGTCCAGCACTACGGATTGGAGGTCAATGAGCTCGGGAGAGTGGTGCTCAGCCGGATGCACACGGTGGAGACGGACTACAAGCTGCCGCGGCAAATAGAAGTGAGTGGTAACTAGAGCCCTGCGTGAATCATTATAGTATGCCATGAAATTTATGATTTGTTTAATTCAATTCTATGTGAAATCGTTTTTTTTTAATACCATTTAAAGCCACATTTGAATAGTTACAAATTTTATTTATTAAGGTATAATTAGATTTAGGCCAAACTTCATTGAGGTTTTTGTAAAAAAAATTGTAACCAATCAAATGTGGCTTTAAATTATATTAAAAAAAAACTATTTCACCTAAAATCCGATGTCTAGAAATGAATTTAATGTTTTTCTAATTCACTTTGAATAATAATTTTAATGAATTTGTTGAATTTGCCACATTTGTTTGTTTTTTGGCTTTCTTTTGAGAACAAAAAGTGGAAAATTGTTAACAACTCAATGTAAACTGCTTAAAATCTGCTTAAATAAAATTAATGCAGATTTAATAACGAAATTATGGCCCTTTCTTCTTCAAAAGAAATGGTCCTTTTAATTATTTCGGATTCCATGCTATTCATTCATTCAATTCTATTAAACTCAAAATTCAAATTCATTTAATTCTATTAAACTCAAAATTCTAATTAATTTAATTCTATTAAACTCGAAATTCAAATTCATTCAATTCTATTAAACTCAAAATTCGGATTAATTCATTCATATAAAACAAAAAATTCAAAATAATTCATTAAATCCATTCATGCAGGGCTCTATTGGTAGCCCCAAAAACCTCTTAAAATGTATATTAATTTTATTGTCACACTCTTATTTTCCAGCTGGTGGAAATGAAGAGACTGCAGAGCGTGGGCGAGGTGATTTGCGGGGAGCCGTTGCCGCCGCGGCACCTTTACCTCGACCACCGGCCGCACAACAGCTTCAATGAGCACGGAGTGCTCAAGAGCGTCGCCTGGGCGGCCAAGGATCAGTTGCCTGGCATGGAGAAGGAGCAGCAGCAGCAGCAGCAGCAGGAGGAGAAGCAGCAGCAGCAGGAGGAGATGCCTTCCCCGCAGAACGACAACTTCTTTAAAGTACCCTTACAACCCAGCGGCGGCGGCTTCAGCTTCGCTTTGGCCGAGCAGCAGCGCAGGGCGCAGGAGGAGGCCAAGCATCAGGCGCTCCAGCTGGCCATTGCGGCGGCCAAGGAGCGCGAGGCCGAACTGATGGCCATACACGAGGCCAAGGTAGCAGAGGCTGAGCGTAGAAAACTAAGGGAGCGGCAGGAGGAGCAGCAGCGCAGGCAAAGGGAGAAGGAGGAGCAGCAGAAACTAGAGAGACAGCGGGAGCAGGAGAAGATAGAACTCCAACTGGAGCTGCAGCGCCAGCAGAAACTAGAGCAGCTGCGTCAGCTGGAAAAGCAGGAAAGGGAAGCCCGCAAAAAAGCCAAAACTTTAGAGTCCTATCAGCAGATATTCCACTTAAGCCTCACTGAGATTTGCAGGCGGGAGTTTCAGCTGCACAGCCAAGCCTGCCGCTCCTACGAAACCCTGATCGACGAACTAACGCATCATTTGCTCGAGCAACAGATGCAGCAATCCCTCTACGAGCTGGGCATCATGCGGGTTTACATGCGGCGGTGGCGCAACTACCGTCGCGCGCAGCAGCAGAAGGATACACTCTTCAACCAGCTGCCCTTGAGTTTCGGCGCCGATGAATCGGATCGCCTGGTGGAGGAGCGCAGCGTGGAGGATTCACTGCGACTGATCAGACGGTATCGTTTGGGGGAACCCTGCGATTACAGCAAACTGCTGGCTGGAATGGAGGAGCAAAGCTGGCTGAAGCTCGATCTTTGGCGCGTTCTGGATGAGTGGCTGCCGCGTGGACAGCCAGGAGCAAGGCGCTTCTACAAGCTGCTGTTGAGTTTGCCCCAAGGAGAGGTGGGTTTCCAGTTGGATTACCTTATAAACAAAGGACTGCTGCAGCATCCGAAATCGCCAGATGCTCAGTTGGCATTGAATAACGATGGCTGCTACATCAGGGGCTTCTCCCAGGGCATCGCCTTGAGTGTGCTGAAGATCTGGGAGGGCAACCAGGAGAAGAACAAACTCTCCGCGGCCAATGGAATTATTTGCCTGGCGAGCGTGGAAAATCAGCGGCAACTTCCCCAGCGTTTAAAGCAACTTTTGCAGGCCAGCGGCTGCCAGGATGTGGCTGTAATCCTACTGCATCCTCCTCACATCTCCTATAAGGAGAACAAAGAGCTAAGGCACCTCGATTTGGGACTCCACTCCTTTCATATCTTCCCCCTGCGGCAATCGGCAAACCTCCGTCAGCGGTTGATGATCGAACTGGAGGCAGCTGTCAGATTTTTGGCCAGATCAAGGGAACGCCAGCCGGCGGAGGAGCTTCAGCAGGCGGAGCTGCGCGAGTTTGTGCTTGGCCATCTGGGAACGGAGCTCTTTCGCCGCCTGCAGCATGCCGCCGAGCAGGATGCGGCCATTCGGAAGGGCTGCCAGCGGTATCCGCAGTTCTGCGTGGATCTGTTCAACGAGGCAGTGCGTCGCCTGCAAACGGTGGCTGGCGAGGATGTGCGGGACTGTCCGCTTTTCGCCGAGGAGCTGCGCGCCTTTGTGGAGCCACTGCCTATAGAAGCAACCACCAATCGCCTGGAGCACTTTGAAACCGGCTGGCAGTTGCCGGAGCAACGGCAGCGGATTGTCCAGCTTCTGGAGCGCTGCAAGCTGCCGCAATTGCCGCAGTTGCAGCAGGGGAGATCCGAATCCCTGTGCCAGTGGGTCCTAGACTGCGCACAAGTGAGTCAGCCGGAGGATTGCGTGGAGCAGGTGGCCCTGCAGGCCATTAAAATCCTGCAAACCAACGAGGAGGAAGGCTACCTGCACTTTGTGGAGTTTCTGGCCAGCGAAAGACTGCAGTTCGGGCTGCGCGAGGCGGGGAATCTGCCGAGGGGAATTGTTTATCGCACGAAGACGATGCGGAGCTGCTTTCTGAGCGCCTGGTACTACGAGTTCCAGGAGCCGCAGATCTGTGAAGTAGCTTCAATCGAGGAAGAGCAGCCAAAGGAGAAGGAGAAGATGGAGCAGCACCTTGACTTTGATGAGATCATGAGCCGGGCGGAGGCTGTGCTTAGCAGGTGTCGCCGTCGCCAGGAAGAGGCACTGCGGGATTACAATGGATCGTCGCAGAAAACAGCCAAGAGCAAGAGCAAATCGAAGCTATCTCGCGATGCCGAAAATCAACCCAAACGCAAGCGGCCCAACTTGAAGTAGTCATATGTCCAATTTTTAATTTTTAATTAATTTAATTGTAACAAATCTATGTCAATTGTGTCTAAGCATTATATAGCCGATTGTGAAAGGAAAGCTAAGTTAAGTTTACTTTTAAGCTCAAAAAACCACTAGTCTTAAGCGTAAAATCCCCAAGATACTGACAGCATGAGCAGCCGCCAAATAGAGCGAGATAGTCCCATTATTTTAACAATCCCTAAGACCTACCGATAGCCATAGTTTTGTAAAGAATTCTAGTGGGCCTTGAACTCACAACTGACAGACGTCAGTCAACTAAACTGCTCCGAGGCGAAAGCATCCATTTATCCAAAATATTTGTGTTTCCGTTTTTTTTTTTATTTTGTTTTAAGGTTTTTTTACACTCAAAAGCCACACAAAAGGATTTGCCTGGAACATGAAGAGCATAGTGGCTCAGACGGAAGGCCAGCTGCGGCCGGTAAGGGGTGAGTGCATGAACCTGTAAGGGATCGCGGTAGAAGGACCATATATGAGAATTTACGATTCCTTCTGCACTTTTCGATCTAAGAAATATTCTAATCTTTTAAAACATTAAGAATACTCGATTTCTAATCATTTAAAATAATTATGTTTCATTTCTTTTAATAATATAAAAAAATTAGTTATACAAGATAAAAATAATAATCGGCTTCATAATAATTTAAAAACTAAAAAATCATAGGTAGTTATATATTTAAGATTTATATTAAGAAATACTTGATTTCTAATCATTTACAACATTTTTGTTAATTTTTTTGCTTTTATATAATATAAAAATAATTAATTTTATGAGATAAAAATAATAATCGGCTTTATAATAATTTAAAAATTAAAAAACGTAGTTACTTATTTGTATAATTGTAATTCAATAAATACAACTTTTAAATAAAAGAAATAATTAATTTTTAAATAAGGGAGTGATGAATAAATAAGAAATATTTCTAAATCACTACCTTTTTTAAAATAATAATTCCTAATAAAATGTAAAAATATTTTTGTTATCTTTAAATTCAATAAACAAATTTGTAACTAAAAGAAATAGGTAAATATTAAATTTGGGAATGATAAATAAATAAGAAATATTTAAAAATCACTACTATTTTAAAAATAATATGTAAAAACATGTTTGTATCTTTAAATTCAATAAATAACTAAAAGAAATAGGTAATTATCTAATTAAAAACTATCAAATAATCAAATTTCTAATCGAAATCCCTCTCTTTTTCAGTGTCCCGCTTGGTTTCGGTGCTCAGGGGCTCCCTCGGCGAATCCCAGATGAATGCCACCGGTCAGGTGGAGTTCCGCTGGACGCCGCACCTCTCGTCGCTGGTTGGAGGAGGTTGTCCGGATGGAAGAGAGAGGCTGTGGCGGCCGTACGTGAACTTCAACACCCGGCTCACCCGCAAGCTGTCCGCTTGCTCGAGCTTGAAGGCGATGAGGCGGGGATCCTCGAGCTGCGTGCTGCCTGTGAATACCCGCCACGCCCCCAAAACGGTGCAGGGCGGCAAGTGGCCCATCTGGCGGCACTCCTCGATGCGACCGCTCCTGCTGCCCTCGTCCAATCTTTGGACCAGTGTGCTCAGCCAGCGTTTCTATGCCCCGCGGCTGCGTCCCGCCCACGAGGATGAGGAGGAGCTGGTGGAACGCCGGGCGGTGCCCCAGCTGCAGGTGACCCAGGAGGAGTGCGAGGAGGAGGAGCAGCAGCTCCAGCGGCGAAGAGATGGCAGTCGCCTGCGGCATCAACAATCGGCGAGGGAAAGGAAGCAGAAGGATCAGGAGGAGCAACTGCCCAGCGCACTGATGACCCCCGGATTGGCCAGCAAGTGGAGGACCACCAGCAGCTCCACCAGGAGGCACCGGGAGCAGCAGCAGAACGTCCGTATGACCACCCAGACCTGGCGAAGGCATCGCAGGTGCCAGCCGAGCGGCGGCCAGAGGATTCAGGTCGTCTCGGAACTCGAGGGCTGGCGGAGATCGGCCAACCATCAGCCGGTGCCCGTTTTTCAGGGACAACCAGCCGAGCAGGAGCACCTGCGGCATGCCAGCTGCAGGACGAGCGCCAGGAGCATGAAGGACGTCCAGCAGAGCAGCAAAGTGAGTTTAAAAATAAATCTAAAAATATTACAAGAGATTTGTACAAAAAAGTTTGTGAAATCAGCCGTTTGGGGTCACCTTTCTGCAGGGAACGGTTAAATTACTCAGTAACCAACATTTAAATAGAAAATTGTTGAGTGCAGATAATAAGGAAATTAAACCAGAAAAATAAATTTAAAAATATTACTAGAGATTTGTACAACAAAGTTTAAGAAATAAGCAGTTTTTGGGGTCACCACATTTAAATAGACAATTGTTGAGTTTAGATAACTAGGGAAGTAATCCAGAAACCCCTTTGAAATCGGTTTTGAATTGGTCAAGTAAGGGACTCTAGAATTTGCAGTTTTGGGTCACCTAAATGAAAAAACTACCCAAATAAGTAAACACCATACAAAGAATATGTGAATCCAAAATATAAGATAACTAAACCTAATAGTTTAATATTAAAAATAGAAAATTAGCAAAGTTCTGGGCTCTATAAACGTAGTTTTGGGTCACCTTTTTGCAAATACATGGGAAACATGACAGTGTTGAAAAAAAAACAAAGTATTCAAAAAGTAAACATCATAAACAATAATCAGAAAATTAGAAAATAAGCCTTAATAATGAACTATAGAACAAAATTGACAAAGTTTGGAGTCACCATAATTTTTTAAAAAACTAAAAAAAAAAGAGAACTAAAAAGGGATCTTAAATTTGGGATTTATTGCTATCGTGGCTCTAAAAGCGTAGTTTTGGGTCACCTTTTTGCAAATACATGGGAAACTTGAATGTGTCGAAAAAAACAGACTATTCAAAAAGTGAACATCTTAAACAAAATTCCGAATAAAAATAATAATAGTAAATAAAAGAAAATTGACAAAGGTTGGGGTCACCATTATCTATTAAAAAACTTAAAAAAAAAGCTTCGAATTAAAGGGGATTACAAATTTACTAGGTATTAACAACCTTTATTACTCAACTAAACTATCCCGTTTCCTTGCAGATGGTCTGGGAGCCCGAGGAGCGGTCACCATGGGCTCGCACCATGGAGATTGTGGGCCGAATGCCCAGCATCCGGGCGGCCCAGTCGTCCCAGTCGTCCCTGCTGATGGCCCAGGAGTCGCGGGGCAAGCACCACAGGCTGATCACCAAGGAGCTGGTCTACAGGCCCATAGGAGCGTCACAGGATCAACAGGCGGAGGAGGATCAACCGACCAGCGGAGGCGGAGGCATCAAGAGAAGGCTGGCCAAACGTGGCGCACCGGAGCGGGCATTGCTGCAGCAACATCTGGCCGATCTGCTGGCCTCCACTGAACCAAACGGCTCCTTTCGCATTGGCTACCAGCCGAATGCGCCCACCCGGCAGCTGCTCGAGCAGGGCAAGTGCCATGTGTCGCTGCGTCGCGAGCAGTTCATCCATCTGCCGGCCGTGCTGCCCAAATCGCTGATCCAGGCGGCCGATCTGGAGGTCAGGGAGTCGCCGCGCCGCGAGTCGCCGGCGACCAGGCTGCATCGCAAGGACGGCGCCAAGCGGCCGCGTCCCGTGGAGGTGGTGGTCAAGCCATCGCTGCTCACCGTCATCCGGCAGGAGGCCCTCAACTGGGAGCCGCGTCTCGTGAGGAATGCCGCCTCCCTGGAGGTCAAGAAACTGCCGCAGGTGAGCAAACTGGCGACGCATCCGTTCAAGGATCTCGAGGAGCCGCGCATCAGGAACTCCCAGCGCAGCCGAGGGCAACATCCCGGCAAGCGGAGCACCACCAGGGACATGACCGAGGGCTACTTCCTGGCCAAGCGCAGCTCGTCGACGGCAATCAAGCAGGGATCATCTAGCTCCTCCAAAAAGGTCAGGCCACCCAGGCAGCCGGTTCAAAGTCCAAAGGTTCAGGTGCCCAGCGTTCAGCGGAAGCAGAGAGCTCAGGAGAAGCTCTGGAGATAAAGCTCCCGATGATCTATATTATATATCATCTGTTTTTACCATGAAAACCCGGACGAAGAGAAGGCAAATCCACATTCGAAGCGGAATTCCAAATTGAGCAGTGAACACTACAAATATATATACATGCACACCTGGTGAATCGATGCTCCTCCCCGGAGACCTCTTTGAAATCGCAAGACCCAACCACTTCAAAACTCTAAAAATTATCTATCCAAAACTGTCAGAAATTCGAGAAATTCAAAATCACCGCAAGAGGGCGCTTTTTCTTCGAAAATTATCGCTTTCATCACATTTTTGGCACACATTCTTAGTAGTTCTTCTTTTCAAGTAGCTTGGCCTTGTTCCTTTTTTTATATAGATACTGTTTTTGGATAATCAGAGACAGCCGTGTTTCAATGCCGTTTAAATTGAGAAATTAGTGTTACTAGGTGTCAAAATCGTAGTTGTTACGTATTAGCCATTACCAAAAAAAAAAGGGAAGAATGTCAAACACATAACTCAATACGCTTTAAAATTATGGACAGTGGTGACACTATGTATAAATTCTGGAATAATAACGGAAATAACTGGATGTCTCGAATTCAGTAAGGTTTTTTTTTTTAATTTGGTTGGGTTTTTGCTTGAAATATATGAAATAAATGGGTCTATTATTTCAGGAATGGTTTTTTTTATAGGTTTGTAATTTTTTTAATCATAATCAAAGGAAATGATAAGTTCTAGAATGGCGTTTTCATAATAATATTATTTAAAATATTTCTCAAAATCCTCTATTTAAATTTTCTTCTTATTTTTAATTACCATATTGTAAGAAATATTTCGTAAGACTCGAAGTTCCCCAAAATTTTGACCATTAAGACAGATTTTACGCTGCACACGATGACTAATCACACGATCAACCTGAAATAAATATAGCCTAACAACTAACAAATAGGTAAACATGTTTATCATATTTTTCCCCTGTTTACCAATGAATTTCAACAAAACAGAAGCGAATTGCAATCAAAACAAAAGAAACCGAGACACGTGACAAAGAAATAGTGACAAAGAAAGGGAAGAAAATATATGGGGGAAATGAATCGATTTGCGTATTTATAGAAGTGCAATGTCACCTATCTTATTTTTGGCAACCCTTAAACAAGCCACATTTCACAATAGAATGCAAAATTTGCATTTTCCAGAGGAGGGCGGAAAAGGTAAGATGAATTTTTAATCTAGAAGGGACTAGAAAAATTCAATTCATATAGAGACATTCATATTTTACAATCATTTTTGTCTTGCAATAAAAATATGCTTATAAATAAATAAAGACTTTTAGATAATTTGTTTCAATAAAATGAAAATAAAAGTTGAAAATTTCCTAAATTTTTTCTATATATTTTTTAGAAGAAAAACTCTGAAATATATTAAGTTTTTGGCTTGCCCTCAAAGTATGGATATAAATAAAGATTTTTGTATAATTTGTTTTAATAAATTAGAAAATAGATTTGTAAATTTCCTAAATTTTTCCCTATTTTTTTTAGAGCAAAAGCTCTTGAAAATATTGCTTAGATTTTGGCTTGCAATAAAAGTATGTATATAAATAAATTAAGATTTTTGTATAATTTGTTTTAATAAAATGGAAAATAGATTTGGTAATTTCCTACATTTTTCCTAATATTTTTTAGAGCAAAAGCTCTTAGATTTTTGCTTGCAATAAAAGTATGGATATAAATAAATTACGATTTTTATATAGCTTGTTTTCATAAATTATAAATTAGAGTTGTTAATTTTCTTATAGTTTACCATATATAATAAATAAAAACTCTTGAAAACTTTGTTTTGTTTTGGCCCGCACTGACAGCCCAGGGTTTTTTTTTTTTTTAAGGGGAAAGGATGTACGTAGTTTGGGCTGCCAATGGGATTTTCTATTCAACATTTCATTTTGCACTACAATTAAACAATGCTCTCTTTCAGATGCTTGCAATTAAACAATTAAGAACTAAACGAAGGGGTCGGTGGATGGCTGGTGATCATCATCCATTAATCCGGGGGGAGGGGGTTTCATCTACTGTAGATGGTGGCTCTGCTTGCACTGCCGCAGCGCCTCGTTGAATCCCTCGCAGAGGGTCAGATCCGCCTGTCCCTGGGCGCACTGGATGAACTGCTTGAGCTCCCAGGCGCAGGCTCCCTGCGGCTCGTTGGGCTGCTGCTGCTGGGCGTAGTAGGGCTGCTGCTGCTGGGGAGCCGGAGCTGCGGCCGCCGGAGCAGCTGCCTCCTTGTCCCCGGATCCGCTGAACAGCGAGGTGAGCCCGTGACCCACCGTGTGTCCAATGGCCGAGCCAACGGCCACGCCTCCCGCGGTGGCGGCCATCTGCTGGAACATCGAGGGCTGCTGGGGGGCCGGCATGCCGACGGCGCTGGGCGGAGCGCTCACGGGCGCCGGCGGTGGGGGCGGTGCAGCAGCACGGGCCGGCACAGGGGCGGCGGCGGCGGGTGCCGGGGCGGGGGCTCGGGCCTGCACAGGTGCGGAGCTGTTGGCGACAAACAAAAACAATCGGTTGTTATTCTGGACTTTGACCATTGATCAGTGATGATGATGATTATTTTGTGACGAAATAAGGGGTCTTTGGGTGGAAATCCATGTTAATTTATTAAAGTAAATATAATATAAACGGATTTTTTAGTTTTTTTTAATTAATTTTTATGATTTTATAAGTGTTTAATTTTATGAATATGATTTTTATGAGTCTGGTTGAAAATCCACCTTAATTTAACTACGTAAATATAAAATGAAGGGATTTTTAAAGAATGTTTTAATATTTTTTTTATTAGTTTTATGATTTTATAAGTGATTAATTTTATGAATATTATTTTTACGGGATTTTTGAAGAATCTTTTAATTTTTTGATTTCTTCAAGTTTTTCTAAAACTAATTTATAAGAAAATATATTATTACAACTTTGTTTTTAAACTTATAATTTACATTTTAAGGAATTGGAAAAGGCAATATTTCAGACAAAGTATTTTTAATATTAAGATTACAGGAATTCTAGAAGTTTGACAAAATTTTAGAGTTCAAATTTAAAGAAATTTGAAACTTTGAGAATTTAGTATACTTTAAATTTAACATCAAGACAAGAAAACTTAAGGTTTCTTAAAACACAGAAATGAAGCTAAATAAAAAACAGTTAGTAAACCATTAAAACTTGCGCAATACGTGAGATGAAATGAAAGTTAATATTATCACATTAGTATTGATAAGCACAACCCGGTGTTTTTGAATACTTCCGGCACTCGAAAAAAAGCCAGATTTGACGGGAAACCCGTTAGACCGACAGCTCCTCCGAAAACATCCCATGTTATTGGGTCTCCTCTTATTTTTTAAGGTTACGTAACCTTAACCCATTTCAGGGCCCCGAAAAGGAAAGCGGCAGCGGCAGGCAAATTGCTGTCCAGCCATAAGATAAAGCCAGATCATCCGATTGATTTGCCAGTGATTACGAAATACGCTCTGCCTTTTCCATTTTCTCCTCGTATTTTCCTAGTTTTTTTGTTTTTCTTACCGACGAGTGGAGGGCGGGGGGCTGGCTGAACGTCCACGGCGAACCATTTTGTTTGTTTTAATTTGTTGTCTTCTAACTTGGTTGTTTCACGCAAAAATTTAACAGTTCTTGCTGTTTTGATGACGAGCTGGTAACTGAAATTCCGAAATAATCCCAATTGGAAAGTTCTCGGCCTGCTTGCAGTGTGACCGGAAAACTATCGGCTACTTGGGGTGTCAGCCCTGGTTGAGTCAGCTGATTTCGGCAGTGAATGGTTGAATTAAATAAAATACTAGTTAAAAGAGGAAAATAAATAGGTATTATGAGTAACAGTTGCAGTTATTAGATTCTAAATTATTATTATTCAATTATTTATAAATATCGAAATTTAAAAAAAGATTTTAGTACTTTAATATATTAGAAAAAGAATGAGAATTTTAAAACGTTTTTCTAGTAATCAAATATTATATTATACAATCTAAATTAAGAGGTAATTATAATTATTTTTTTCTTTTTTAACGTGACCGTTAATTATTTTTGAGTGAATGGCAACTATCGCTCAGCGTGGTGACTGGCAAAGCGCTCAAAAGCCGCATATCGATAGGAAGTCCAGCCATCGCGGTTGCTAAAACCAGTTAATTATTAGTTTGATATTTATTATAAGAGCATTATTATTTTCTATCAACATAAAAGTAAGCCACAAGAAGAACTTACACTCTAAACAGCGAATAAACCAAGAGATACTGGCCAACTATCGCATCAACCGGCTATCGATAGCTCGCCCGCCTCGCAGCCCTGGCCGCCGAAATGCAACCGTGCGCGTGTCGGCGGAAATGTGACTTTCTGGCGTTGCCGCACACTGCCCCAACATGTTCTTTTTCAGGCGTTTGCCTTTGCGCTGACATCGTATCTCGATTTCTTCTGTGACCAAAGTAAGGGCTTTCGACGTTTAACTGTGTGGATTGTGGCCAGAGTTTGGCCAAAAGACGGCTAAAGGCTGGGGCCAAGTGTGGATACTGAGGGTTTTGTGAATTTATTGCGGCAAATCGCTAGAAAATGCAATTTCCCACGAAATGAGGTTAAAGACGGGCGGCTTTTTGTTTGTGTGTGTGTGCGCGAGTGCGGCTGTGTGAGTGCGTCACACGTGTTGGTTTCACCTTTTTTTTTGTATTTTTTTTTCATTTGCTTGCTGCGCAAAGTAATAATATATATATAATGTGAATGCTGAACTAAATCAAAGGCCCGGTCTTGAAATTCCTCTTAATAATATCGCTCCAAAGATATAAAGTCGCAGGTCAACAACAACAGCGTGTGTGTATATGTGTACGGTGGCCGTGTCTGTGTGCATGTAGCGCGCATTTACTGTTAAAAAACGTGTTAACAACGCAGAAATATTCCTTAAATCTTAATTTAAATTGGTTAAATGACTGTTGAAACTCTTTTTTTTAATGTAAAAATGTGTTTGGTAGTGAAATCATCATTACTTAAAAACAGTTTTTTTTTAAGTTTTCAGTTCTTTAGATTAAACTTGTTATTTAGTTTTAGAATTTAAAAAGAAACCTTAAATTTAAATTGCCATAAACCTTTTTTTTCTGTTAAAAAAATTCTATGTGAAAAACGAGGTTTCCCATAATACTTTATCCTAAAGTTATAAACAAATGTATATAATAAATGGGCGGCTTTAAAAATAATTTACAAAATATAATTCAGTTTTTTAGTTGTTTGTAAAACTTTGATTTACCTATTAGTATACTGCTAAAAACATTACTTTATTTGGTCCATAAATCTTTATTTTTTTTAATAATAATAATAATATTTAATAGTTGACAACCTTTAATGATTTGTCTTCTACATTATTAATCATATTAAAATATTGATCTTATTCTCTTACCCATAAACAAATAAAAAAACACGTTTCTTGGTTTGACCAAGTCTTTGCCTATAATTCTTTAAAAAAAAAGCACCACAATAACCAAAAGATTAATAAATTAAGGATAAAACATTTAAATTTCACTAAACAAACATGGGGTTTTCAAAGAAGCATTATAAATACCCAATAGATAGCAAAACCCTCCAGTATCTCATAGTACAATATCCACTTGCAAACACGTGACTAACTGAAAAGTATTTCCCCTTTAAAAACCCTCTTTGCAGCATGGCCGAAGTAGCTGAAAACGTGGTGGAGACCTTCGAGGAGCCAGCGGCACCTATGGAAGCCGAGGTCGCCGAGACGATCCTGGAGACGAATGTGGTGGCCACCACCGAGCTGCCGGAGATCAAACTGTTCGGCCGCTGGTCCTGCGACGATGTGACCGTCAACGACATCTCGCTGCAGGATTACATCTCGGTGAAGGAGAAGTTCGCCCGCTACCTTCCCCACTCCGCCGGCCGCTATGCCGCCAAGCGCTTCCGCAAGGCCCAGTGCCCCATTGTGGAGCGCCTGACCTGCTCCCTGATGATGAAGGGCCGCAACAACGGCAAGAAGCTGATGGCCTGCCGCATCGTCAAGCACTCGTTCGAGATCATCCATCTGCTCACCGGGGAGAACCCTCTGCAGGTTCGCAAAACCCTCTATTTGTATCTAAATCGCTTTCTAACGAGCGTCCCATGCTAAACTGTGGCCAGAGATCAAAGCCACTCGGCCATGGGTAGAATGGGCACGCAGAGCAGCCGCCAGGCTTCAATATCCTAGTGCCTGAAGATAGCCAAAAGCCTCTTCTCGTTCTCCTGGAACTTGAAACCACATCATAGCATCATAGTAATAGTATTAGCGAAGTCCCCCTCAATGCTGGCTAGCTTGTAATCCATGCTCTCCCAAGCATCCACTCTAAAATGGACTGATAGCGAACCAGAGCTTTAATTATCCTTGGGCCTAAAGATACAAAAAGCCACTTTTGGTTCTCCTGGAACTTAGAGCTACACTCGAAACAATAGGCAGTCCTCCTCAATGCCAGTTGAAGGTGATTTCCAGCCAAACTGAGCATAAACTCATAAGGGACTCATAGGAAAAGGTGTTAACTATCCTTGTGCTTGAAGATTCAACCACTTCCCGCTCTCCTGGAAATTAATTCAACACTCTAAACTGTAGAATATATCGTAGTGAGTCGACCTCAATGCTAGTTGAAGGCAATTCCAGCCCAGCTAAAGCATATTACACAAGAGACTCAGAGGAAAAGGCGTTAATTATCCTAGTGCTCGAAGATTAAACCACTTCCCGCTCTCCTGGAATTTAAGGCAACACTAGAAATGATATAGTTATCCGTCCAAAACTAAAACTGCAGCGTTGATTCTCCACAACGTTGTGGTATTCAATTGGACCAAAGGAAAGCCCATGATTAGCTATTCCTCTTAAGGCCATTGGCTCGAAGATGCAACCTTAATAAAGCATAAATCAACAGAATCCCAGAACCAATTTGTAGTCCAACTCTATGCCAGACGAAAAACACCCTGTCGTACTGAGCATTTCCAAAAATGGACTAATACTAATTGTAATTGTTTTAACTATCCTTGTGCCTGAAGATTAAAACCACTTCCTGCTCTCCTGGAAATTAAAACAACAATTAAACTAAAAAAAATTTATTGATGATACCATTTTCCGTCCAAAACTAAAATTGCAGCGTTGATCACCACAACGTTGTGGTATTCAATTGGACCAAAGGAAACCCCATGATTAGCTATTCCTCTTAAGGGCATTGGCTCAAAGATGCGACCTTAATAAAGCATAAATCAACAGAACACCATCTAAAAAACCTGATATTTTTAATAGATTATGCAGCCAACTAATTATTAAATTTCCCCCTGCCATTTCTTACAGATCCTGGTCAGCGCGATCATCAACTCGGGACCCCGTGAGGACTCCACCCGTATTGGACGTGCCGGTACCGTCCGTCGCCAGGCTGTGGATGTGTCGCCCCTGCGTCGCGTCAACCAGGTGGGTTTCTTGAGAGGATTCAACTTGATTCAGTGGCCGGTAGCAATGGCTTGCGGTTCGATTGGAGACTGCTTGCTTATAACACTTGGCTAGATCGAAATTCTATCTAATATCCGTAGCGTCATAATGTGTAATTTAGCCGACATTGGGCGTATGAAACGAAGAGACATTTATTGCTATTATATAACATGTTTTGGGGTTTGAAAAGATATGTAAATTATGTAAATTAATTTACTAATTATATTTTTTTTATTAATTTCTTCTAGGCCATCTGGCTGCTGTGCACTGGAGCTCGTGAGGCTGCCTTCAGGAACATCAAGACCATCGCTGAGTGCCTGGCTGATGAGCTGATCAACGCTGCCAAGGTGAGGAAATGGGGATTTTCCATCGAGAAGCCAGGAAATTAGCTTCCTTATTAGTCCAACCTAATTCTGCATCATGGTTTATTTATGTAGTCTCGCTTTTGGACCAGATCAAACTCCAAATCTCTTATTATCCTTGTGCTAGTGGCCACTCTACTGTCCTATGCACACGAGAAACGTAAAAGAACATTGACTAAGTTAAGATTTTCAACTGAATCCGTTAGAGAACCTCGTGTCCAACCTAATTCTGCATCATGGTTTATTTATGTAGTCTCGCTTTTGGACCAGAAGAACCACCAATCCTTTATTATCCTTGTGCTTGCGATAATAGCCCAGTTCAATGCACACGAGAAACGTAAAAGAACAAAAGAAAACCGAGATTATATAGTAGTAGTTATGGGTCCAATCTAATTCTGCATGATGGTTTATTTATGTAGTCTCGCTTTTGGACCAGATAAATGCCCATCCTCTATTATCCTTGTGCTTGTGACAGCATTTCAGTTCAATGCACATGAGAAACGTAGAGGAACAGTAGCTTTAAATATTTTTAAAAACATTTTGTATTAAAATAAAAACAATTACTGACCATATATTTTATTTACAGGGTTCTTCCAACTCGTACGCCATCAAGAAGAAGGATGAGTTGGAGCGTGTGGCCAAGTCCAACCGTTAAGGAGACATCATCACCAGCAAAAACAAACTTCTGTGTCTGTTTTTTTTTATACAAATAACGTGTGTACACTGCGAAATGATACACTAAATTTAAAATAAACAACAAGATGAAAAATCCAATGTAGAGCAATCTTTTTTTTAATAGTTTTTAGTTTTCAATAAACTTGGTTGTCAGCGATAAAGCCGATATTTTAGTTTGTTTCTATTTACAGACGATTGTTTTCAGAAAGAAGTTAACCCTATTAGCTGTCATTTTCATTATATCATGGTTATAATAATGACAGTTTAATAGAGGGAAGTAGTTTCTTATCGATAGTGATTACTACTATTTTTTTTTAATTTACAAACATCGGTAAAACCCTTTTTTTATAAATAAATATTTACAGACGCTTGTTTCTAAAAAGAAGGTAACCCTACAAAAACGTTTTAGCTGTCATTTTCATTATATCATGGTTATAATAATGACAGTTTAATAGTTTTATCGATAGTGATTACTACTATTTTTTGTAAATTTACAAACATCGGTAAACCCCTTTTTTATAAATAATTATTTTAATAATATATTTTAAAATTCCCGCTTGCCCAACAACGTCGATTTTCGATACTTTCAAAAGTGTTTGTGATAAATAAGAGCAGTTTCGAAATTGTAATTTATTACTTATGATTTTTTTTAGGTTTGAGTATTTTTTAACTTTTCTTCATCAGCCGATAGGGATCGATTGGTTCAGACGCATATCGATTCCCAATATCGACGTGCTGCAGAGCCCGATAGTTCGACATTAGATATTGCCTCCTGATATCGATTTCAATTTATTTTAGAGTTACTGGCGGAGTGTCATTTTCATCTTTCATTCACCCTTAAACCTTAAATTCCTTTGGTAGTTGGTCGGATTGAGTTGAGTTGCGTTTTCGTTAGCATTTCCCGGTCTTGGAGTAAGATGTTCACAGTGGATGCCGCCGCTGAATCAGAAGTAACCAACGAGACTCCATCGAATAGCCAGTAAGTGGACGGCAATCCTGGCCAGAAAACGGGAATGAATTTGCAACTTTTAGCCTCTTTTGACATTTGAGACACGAAATACTATAATGCAGATTCCACGAGCAGAGGCTGGTGGAGCACTTCTGCCGGCAGACGCAGCTGCTCAAGCTGGTCGAGGGCTCCGCTGGCCGCTTTGTGGCGAACTATCGGAGCTCCCGGCGGCCGGAGGACCTGCTGGCCCCCATCCAGCTGCGCTTGGACTTTGACTACGCCCGCCTGCTCGACATCTCGCCTAGATTGCTCCAGCTGATCGTCGAGGAGCCGCTGCAGTTCCAGGAGGCCCTCCGGTACTCGATCTACGGCCTGGTCAGGTCACATCTCAGGGACGCCGGCCTGAAGCCCATCGACATCAACCAGCTGCACGCCCAGTGGCGCCTGGTGGGCCTGCCTCCCAGCCCGGGCCTCCAGTTCGAGCCGCGCGATCAGGCGCTCCGCCTGGGACTCTCCCAGGTGCAGGGCATCCTGGCCGCCTTCACGCCGCAGGAAACACTGGTGTCAGTGGCTCAGTTTGTCCATGTCCTGGCAGGGAATCGCTTGTAGTCGTTAGAAACCATTTAGTATCGCAAGTTTTTTAACTTTCTAAACCATGTATTATACCAAAAGGTTCCGAGATCTATTAGTATATCAGTTTATAACATATTTAATATTCAAGTTTTCAAGATCTCTCTATTTATTTCAATGCTTTTTTAACTTTGAGCCATATATTATTGCAAACAGTTCCAAGATATATTAGTATATTAGTTTATAACCTATTTAGTATTGTAGTTTTCAAGATCTGTCTATGCATTTCCATGCTTTTTTAATTTTCTAAGCCCTGTATTATACCAAACGGTTCCAAGATCTCTTGTTACATCAGTTTTTTCGACTGGTAATGCAGTTCATAGTATATTTTCTTAGCTTTTCCAGACTTCCCAAGTCAGTTTCCGTGTCTAGATCAACTTAAAACTATAGAGATCGAGTCAAATTTCCTTGTTTATATTATATTATTATAATTATATATCATATATGCTCTGCCGGGACATTCGAAGCTTCGGTCACCGAAGAGGTAAACTCACTTTCCCCATTTTATATCACAACATATAGCCTGCAATCGATTTGGTACTGCGGCAGCGGCTGTATGCGCAATGCCATACAGACCAGCTCAACGGATGGTATGTCCTATAGAGACTAGGCTCGCACCTAAGAACCCACCAAGCATGTTGTCCAAAACTAATACTCACCTGTCATCTGTGAAGGCTAACCATTATTGGCATGAATCCCCTAACATATTTTCTTTTGATTTTCCATTTAATATCTGCACTTTTCATAGATCTCTGTGGTTCTGTTTCTAATACCATTCGATGGCTATCTTTCAGCTCCTCTGTGTTCGGGCTGCTCGAGGCCCATGAGTGAATACCAAAAGTTGCGCGTCACAGAAACCTACCGAATCCTGGCCATCCTGCCCAGTTCTGCAATACAGACACCTCGCACCACCGGCTGCCTTCATCGCCCCAAATTGGTCCGCCTAAGAGGTGAGTTCTTTCGCTTTTTTAGAAGTAACTAAACGTTTAACTTAACAAACTATGTGTAATTATTACAACTAAAAAACACTACGAAAAATCGTATATTTAAGAAAATCCCAGATCCTGATTTTCAACCCTAAAATATCCGTTCTTTCCCATAAAAATGGAAGTAATTATCCAAATATAGAATGTCATACCTTGTTGTGCTCGTGATTTAATTCCCTAACGATTGGCATTACAACTTAGAAATTTTTAATTTTTGTCATATTTTGCAAAAAATTGTGATGTACCCCCTTATAAAAAAATGAAAAATTGGCGAAAATTTTATTTTTTTAAGATCACCCGGAAAGTTTATTGATCTGTTCAAAACAGTAAGTATTTTTGGTGTAAGACCATTTTTAGCCAAGTTACAGCAAAAAAAGAAAAGGAAAAATTGAAATTTTTACCAAAAACCCAGATGCCAATTTTCCGCAAAAAAAATGTCGTTTTTTGACCGAAACAATGAAAATAATGATCCAAATATGGAATGACATACCTTTCTGAACTCGTTATTAAATTTCCAATCGATTGGCATTTAAATCTGGATATATTATTTTTTGGCCATTTTTTGCAAAAATCGTGATGTAACCCCTTATAAAAAAAGCGAAAATTTATCAAAAAATAAATTTTTCAGAAAGTGATGGGGTTTGTTAGTTTAGGTCGTTAGCTGTTCAAAACAGTCGGTCTTTTATCTGTAGGCCTTAAATTGACCAAGATACGACTAAAAAACCAAAAAGAAAATGCATATTTTCGTCAAAAATTGAAATGCATATTCTTCATCCTGAAATATCAGATTTTTGGTCGTAACGTTGGAAATAATGATCCAAATATGGAGTGACTTTTTCGTATAAATAATTAAATTACTTAGTTATAAATAGTTAATAAAATAGTTACTAACATGATATTTGAACATTTGATTATTTGCTAAGAATAAAATTAAATATTTTCGCAATTGAATTTAAAATATATATTCCATTTCTCCTGATAGCCCACGCCCACGACTGTGAATTAAAGTTGGGATCTAGCTACCTCGTTACCTGTTACTTCGCTGTATCGGCCAGCACCTATCAACTGGAAGCATGCCATCTAGGAAGAGCAATCTAGAGAACAAGGCCCGTCGCCGTCGCAATCCCGTGCAGCTCAACGATTTCCTGCGCGGCGATGACGAGCAGTTCCAGGCAACAACATCCTCAACTAATGAATCTCAAAATGCCAACAAAAGCTCCCTGGGGTAGGAAAATACGCAATTTAATTTAAAATATTTATTTAATATATATATTTAATAATAATAATATATATATTTATATTCCCAGCACCATACCATCGCTCGAGCCGCTCGAGAGCGATGTGACTCCCGTTATCACGCCAACACCTCCTGGCGAGGATGCTTCGAAGCCACCTGTAAATGTCTGGCACTCAACCGGTGAGAATCGCCAGTCCGATGGCCACTATAATGTAAATACCGAGGAGTATCCGGATTTGGGAAAGCGTCTGAAGAGGGCCAAGCAAGCGACGCCGCCGCTGCCGAATTTAGAGGACTTGGGTTCACGCTTTCGCGGTCGTCGCGAACCGCCGGTGCTGGCCAACTTTCTGCCAGAGGCAGTGCGTCCGCCATCGCCAACGGCATCGGTGGACAAGCAGCAGTCGGTGGCCAAATGGCTGGGTTCAGTGCGCCCGGGCGACAATCAAAAGATCACTTTGCTGCGAAAAGATTCTGCCCAGCGGGATCAGCGAAATCAGGAGGAGAACAAGGTGCTGCCTGGTCAGCAGAATAAGCCAGGCCAGAGTGCAGACAAGGCTTCAGTTAGTCCCTCAAAGGAGCAGCAGAAAACTGCGGGTAATCCTTTCAGGCAGCAGCAAAAGACTCAGGGAAAATCAGCTGGTAATACTGGAAAACCTCCTGGCAAACGCCTTCAGGAACAGCAGATGACTCCAGTCAGTCCAGCGAAGCAATCGAGGAAGTCTCCAGGCGAAAAGAGTCCTGTAAAGTCTTCGCAACATCAGAGGAGTCCTGTCAAGCAGCAGGAGCAGCCGAAGCAACCAAAGAGTCCAGCAAAGACAGCTCAGAAGGAAAGCCAATCCTCGATGCCAGTTGAAAGGGTTCCTGTTCCTAAAGAGGATAATGATGAGGACGTGGTGCCGCCGTCGCCAAACTGCCAGAGCGACAGGCGATTTCCGCGACCCAACAACAGCAACCAGCGGCTGCAATCCTCGCCGGAGGAGCGTCAGCTGGCCAAGCGCAGCCTGCTGAACTCGAATGCCGAGGAGTTTCGTCCCCGGGAGCAGCGGGAGTCAGGCGGAGAATCGAATGAGCCACCAGAGCTTCTGGAGCAGCAGTCAGATGCCCAAGTCTTTCGCCGCAAACCCAGATTGAGCGTGAGTTATGCTTATAAATTATAAGTTATAATAATGTTTATAGTCTCGTTTTTACTGCTTCCATTTAACAACCACAGCGAAGACGGCGTCTCCAGCGATATCTGCGCTCCCTGAATGCGGACGGAGCTGCTCTGCCCAGCCGGACATCGAGTGTGGGACTGCTGCCGACGCCCGTGATGCCATCCAACTGCTACTACAGTGCCCCGCCTGTGGCTCCTCCACCGCCGCCGCCTCCACCGCCGCCTCCTCCGCCGCCTCCCGCAGTTCCAATTTGCTCCATCCAAGCGCATATGCCGCCTGAAACCATCAAGGTGAACCCCGGCTGCAATCCGCCGCCGCCGTTTATCTACTACAATCCGCAGTCGGGGAATATATACAACCACCCGGCGCCATCGCAAATTCCCATCGAGATCCAGAGCATCCAGGCCGCGCAGTCGGTTTTTCGGCTTGCCAGCCTCCCCTGCACTGGTGTGGGCACCCCCAGCACGGATTTGTCTACCGACTGGTCTCCCAGCCAGCTCCTCCTCCCGTCCAGTATTTCCGGCCCGAGCCAGTGCCAGTTGTCCCATACGCTCAGTTCGCCAGCGTTGTTAGAGCAGCACAGCCAGGAGCAGTCAAGTTTTCGCCAGGACGAGGACCTGTTGTACAGCAGGCCGCTGTTGGATTTGGACCGAGAGGATACCCTGTCGGAGGAGCAGGAATCGGAATCGCAGGATTCCCAGGAGTCGCAGGAGCATTCGCTCGTCGACGCGCCAGACGCCGCTATCGTCGTTGATGAGCCGACAGAGCGTCACAAGTTATTCCGGGCGCCCAATCAGGAGCATCCCAAGCCCGATTTGAACTGCGTGCCGCTGAGCATCAAGAAGCTGCATCATCTGATCTCGTCGCAGTACTCGGACTACTCCTTTGTCTACGCTTTGTGTGCCCAGCTCAGCCAGGAGTGCGTGCCCATGGATTGCTATGTGTACCTCAAGATGGTGCTGCTGGCCAGCATCGTTTCGATCGAAACGGAGGAGGTGCGTCCACCGATCTCGCTGTGCATCATCGCCACCGACGGCCTGATGGCCCAGCGCCTGATGAGCCACGTGGGCCAGCTGGCGCCGCGCTTCCTGGGCGCCCACGACTACGGACTGCAGCCGACTTTTAGTGCCCTGCCCACGCGCTTCAACTGGGTGGTGGCCAGTCCGCTGCTGTTGGCCCAGCAGGGTGTCTACTATGCCGGCGACTGGACGCGACTGGCCAGGGAGCAGGGCGCCCAGCTGGAGAAGTGCCTCGAGAACGGAGCGGTGCCCGTGCCGCAGCTGCAGATCGATCAGCCCCTCGAGGCGGCCGTCTGGACGCACTGGCAGCCCGACAACTCCAGCAATCAGACGCAGGTCCTGGCCAAATTGTGCCCGTAAGTTGGGGGATATATCTGCAGACCAGCTTGTAAATTAATAAAATGATATATATATTTTACAGGATCTTTGGCCTGCCCATTTATATGGGCGATCAGGTGAGCGACAGCCTCTGGAACTTTCTGATCAACCAGCATACCGCCGAGGGACAGAATATGCCAAACGATGGCCTCAACATTCCCGACGAGGACATGCGCATGCTCATCCATCTGCTGCACCAGCGCAAGATCATCTTCAGCGATAAAGCTCAGCACATGCTGCAAAAGTACTATGTGATCTCCAGAAAGGAGCGACCAAGTGAGTGGCTATGATTTATAGTGCTGTACTCTTCTAATTCACGAACTTCTCAGCCGTCTTCTCCAGCAAGACGTACATTGTGATGAAGCAGTTCGCCGAGTCCTTTGCCAAGCTGGCCTTGCGTTTGGAGGTCCTCGAGTCGGACGTCTGCGTGGCGATCTTCCACTGCGAGCACTTCGTGCAGCGCATCTTCGGCGCCAAGGATCAGCTGGCTCCGCCGGCGGTGGTCACCTTCAGCGTGATCTCGCGCATCGATCCGTATATGAATGAGTTCGCCCGCTGGCTGCTGCAGTATCTGGATCGCTACGAGGACGAGGAACTGGGCCTGCAGGCGGCCAAACGGCGACGCACGGACAGCTGGGGAATGCCCTAAATTAACTCGCCATTGATTTAGCACCACTCTTGGGTTTATAACCAGCCAAAACAACGCTCTCTGGAACACTTTGAATACGTTTTGTAGTTTTATATAGAAAGATAGATGAATTTACAACAATTGCGCTTGTAAACAAAATCGCCCCTGGGGCCGAGACAATACTACTACCTCCAATGGATTCACTATTTACGTATCACAAACAGCGCCTCAAAATGAAACGTTCTAAATTTGTAAACATCGAATTTTCCACACCTTCCACTTGATTCATTCGGTATATGTTTTGTGTATATCGCCTGGCGATCGCGGATAGCTCTTAAAGTTCCTATGCGCGATAATCAAGAGCCATCGTTTCAATAATCTTCTAACGGATTGTTAATCCCTGTTAATCATCAACCATATTTTGCTATCTTTCGGAGGCTTGAAAAATTTTCAAAATTGTTTTTGGTACAAATATTAAAATTAAATGTGTGGCCAGGAGTATACATTTGCTTTTTATTAATACATATAACTTATGTGATACCAGAGAATATTCTAGAAGGATATTTTCAAACCTGATACTATATTTAATAAAAACTTTGAAAATCTTACAAAAATCGGTATTTTACACGAAACACTGGAAATATTAATCCAAATATGGATTGTCATACCTTTCTGAACTCGTTATTAAATTTCCAATCGATTGGCATTTAAACCTGGACATTTTATTTTTTTGTCATTTTTCGTAAAAAATTATGATGTACCCCCTTATAAAAAAATTGAAAATTGACGAAAATTTTATTTTTCCAAGATCGCCCTTAAAGTGTCATGGATTTATTTATTATTTTGTTATCTGTTTAAAACAGTGCGTATTTTTGGTGTAGGACCATTTTTGGCCAAGTTACAGCAAAAAAACGAAAAGGAAATATTCATATTTTTGCCAAAAAGCCAGATCCCAATTTTTCACAAAAAATAATTGGTTTTTTGACCGTAGCAATGAAAATAATGTTCCAAATATGGATTGTCATACCTTTCTGAACTCGTTATTAAATTTCCAATCGATTGGCATTTAAACCTGGACATTTTATTTTTTTATCATTTTTCGTAAAAAATCATGATGTACCCCCTTATAAAAAAATTGAAAATTGACGAAAATTTTATTTTTCCAAGATCGCCCGTAAAGTATCATGGATTTATTTATTGTATTGTTATCTGTCCAAAACAGTATGTATTTTTCGTGTAAGACCATTTTTGGCCAAGTTACAGCAAAAATTTTCACCAAAAACCCAGATTTCAATTTTCCATTATTATTTTATCTGTTCAAAACAGTATGTATTTTTGGTGTAAGACCATAATATGGTAAAATGAAGCACAGCTCGAAATATTAATTTAAGCTCTTGATTAACCTGTGTTTAGTCCCCAGACTTTTTCTAATTCAAATAAAACACATTTGCGTATCTAAAAAAAAACAATTATTTTTATTAACTAGCTTGTATTGTTATACAGATTTATAGTTATTCTTTAGAATTAGTTTCATGCTTCTCAGTTTCTGTTTTGCTTTTGATTATCCTTTCCAGCTGCCTGAGCAAATCGTTCAAAGTTCAGTTTTAGTCTTAGGCGTAGTGATGGGCAAATAGTTTGTCCCCATTTCTCTCGATCTTATTCCTTCAATTATACATTTATCAAAATATATGGTATATTTTTTACAAAATATAATTCATAGGCATACAATATTATAAAGTTAATAGGTAAATTCACGATGAAACTTCAAGTGTTCAAGAGTCATTTTGGTTGTTACATTTAAATCGTTATACAATTCGTATATGTATAAAGTTTAGTCTAGGGTTTATGATATTTATGCGATTATATAGATGTTTGACCAATAATATCAGTTCGCCGAAAAAAAATGAAAACCATAGAGGTTAAAACTTCAGTAATATCGGGGCACTGCCACCATTGGTCAAAGCACTATAAGGGTATCCATATGATTAGGTTTTTAAATGGCGGTGTTAGTAGCATGGGGCTGTCCTTGATTTACATTCATTTCTAAATCTAAACCTACCGATAGAAAAATAGTTCTTAACCACAATATGACAAAGTAAAATGTACATTACATAATCTAGGTATAGGTCTATAAAAAATACGTTCTTGACTTTGGTCCAGTACTGAAATCTCGGATTTCGTTAGTTCGCCAAAAAGAAGAGAAAGTTACGGGTTCCTTTTGCCCTTCGCTCGCTGTGTTGAGCAATTGTTTTTTGGTCTTACATGGCTACTTTTGTTTCTTTGTTATAGTTATTTGAGCTTATAAATTAAAAAAATCTTTCCCATCTAATGCTGAGACTGTGCACTGGGCAGAAGAGAATCCGTAATCCTCTAGTAGTCCAGATTACCCTGGGCTCCGGTGATGATGGCATCGATCCAAATACGGGCCGCCGAATCGGAGGCGGCCTGCAGGTTGTAGCTTCGCTTCTTCGTCTTCACAATGAACGTGCAATGCGGTCGTCCGCTCTTCGAGGCGTTCAAATGATCCAGATAGACCTCGTCGATGGTCTGTATATATAGAAATTAAAATAGTTTAGCTAATTTATTTGAAAAAATATGGAAAGTTTGCTATTTATCGATATTTTATTTGTGCTTTGCCTTCAAAACATCGAAATTATCGGCTAGATATTGTCAAAATATCGAAAATATCGATAAATACACAATCCACTTGATTTTTCAATGATTTGACTTTATTTTCTGGTCATACTCACTGCAAAGTAAGCCCCGCCCCTCGGCTTCCTCTCCGACTTATCGGAGTAGTAGATTAGGGCGCTCCTCTGGCGATCCAGGACAAACCAGCGCCGCGACCAGGCGTGAAACGTGGCACCCAGCTTGTGGAGGTAACTGTAGGAAAATCAGTATATAAATTAGAATAAATTAGGATTTAAGAAAAGCTTCAAAATTACCCGCGACAACTGTGGGCGTCCACAAAGACATGCGGACACAGATCGATCTGGTGGCCGGCGGTCTCGATGTGGTGCCGCAGATTCAGATCCGGCGAGAAGATGGGCAGGTAGCGGGTGAGCGGGCGCTGGTGCTTCGGCAGGATGCGCTTCCGTTCGCTGGCCGTGCTGCCGCCACTGCCGCTGTTCCCGCTTCCGCTGCCCGCCGATGCGGTATCCTGTGAATTGCTGCTCGCCCGCTTGTTGTCCACTGCCGGCGACGAGGAGGAGTCCATTCCGTTGCCGAACTTGGGCGCCTCGATGGCCGCATCGCAGTTGTTGGCCTCGGACAGCGGGCGTGGACTGCGGACCACCATTTGGTTGCCACCGCCGACTCCTCCTCCTCCTCCGGCACCTCCTCCTATTCCCAGGGCAATGGCATGGTGCTCCAATTCCGGCTGCGAATGGCGTTGCTGGAATGGCGAAGAAATAAATCATCAATCAATTTTTAATAGGTTTTCTTCGCTTTGTATTCCTGTGCTCATAATAATAATATTTGGTCAATCAATTTTGAATAGCCTGCGCATGTCGTATATTTTTGCACATTTACGATTATGTTTAAAATTATCTTTAAATTTGTTTGTTTTCTTACACTTGTAAACATTTTTTAATGTGTAATATCCTTTTATTAAATTATGAATTCGTTTTAAATATTATCGAATTTTTCTAATTACGAAATACCTCTTTACCTAATCCACATTATACAGATATTCTACCAATTTAATTTAAAATATTTTTTATAACATTTATTTTAAAACATTGATTTAGTTCGTCTGTTGTAAATAAATAAATAAACTAAACTCATAACAAAAAGGAGTTTTTTGAACAAAAATGTTTTCCAAATTTTTAAATATTTTTTGGCACATCCGAAATCATCACTAACTAGTAAGGAAATATTTGTTTTTCAATTGATTTAATTTTGTATTAAGTCTCTGGATAATTGGCAGAGTACAAATTTTTTCTAAATTAAGGATTTACTTTTCCCCAACCCAACTTTTCACTCACTAGATAATAAAGCTCATTTTTCCTAAATTAAGGATTTACTTTTCCCCAATTCAACTTTTCACTCACTAGATAATACAGCTCATTGCGCTGGCGTGCATTTGCATCCGTGCGTCGATGCTGCACGTAAGTCATCCACACGGACATATCGAATGAAAATCGGAAAACCGGATGGGAAATAATATTCTTGAAAATCACTTGCGCTTCCACTGGAAATGGGCAGCTAACTAAGCGATTTTCCGACAAACAGAACAGCACAGAATAGAATAGAACAGAACAGAACAGAACAGAACAGAACAGATGATGATGATGGGGTGGCCGCGTCTTCTTTTCGGTCTTTCAGACTATCCGTCGGATCGCGAATGGGCCGCACATGAACATTGTCCAGTTTCGAGAACCAGAACCAGATCGAGGTAATTATACCCGTAATGGGCCGCGGATTTTTGTGGCCAATGAACGGGAGAAGATAACGATGGCCAGTCTATTGGCGAGATCGGTAAACGTGTAAACAAATGGGCTAAAAATCGAGGTAGAAGGTAAACACGGACCAAAAAAAAAAATCCAAACATCCAAAGTACGTAACGCGCAGCGAATGGACAACCAAAATAAAACAAAGACCACGGCAAATATTAAACTTATTAATAAGTGTAGTCCATATAGAATCCGCAATTGAGAGCACGCCGATGGGGCGATGAGGCGGTGGGTGGTGGGGTGGCTCTTTTAAAATAAACACTGGCTAAAATAAAACAGCAAACAAAATGCCGAGGCGGCCAACAACTCGTGACTAACGAGCTGGCGATAGATTTCATCGTCATCCAGGAGGATGAGAGAGGTGCACTCGAAAAAATGCAGAATTTCATTTCATTCATGAATAATTAATCTGATATTAAATAAAATAAATAATAAAATATTGGGATTTTGTTTCAGTGCATAGTACAAAAAACTACTTGGGAATTATAAGCAAGAAAATATTGTGTTATATATTACAAACATAAATACAATTGTGAAACTAATAAAATTCAATGTTGTTTTTTTATATTAAAAAAAATCGAAACAATACAGTTCCAGAAGTTTATTTCAGTGCATGGCAAAGAGAAACAAGTTTTCTAAAATTACCCACAGGATCTCACTCTTACTCCCACTTTTTCTCTTACTCTTAACCCAATTCTTTCAAGCTCTTGGCACTTATGTCTTCATGATCGTGTGATCTTGAAAACCAAATCATAAATAATAGGGTGTTTCGCTGTTAATAAATTTGCCAGTAAAAATAATATATCAAATGAATTAATATTGAATGAATAAATACAAACGAACCTATCGCGTAATTTCGTAAGCTTTGCATAAACAAAAACAAAACTATAATGAATCTCTGAATAATTTAAACGGGGGATTTACTGAGAACTCGCAACAAAACAAAAAGCATTACTCAGAGATTTTCCTGAAAGCTCTAAAAACAAGTAATTGCCAAAAGAGTGTATATTTTTCACATTCACAAACGGTAAAGTAAAGTTGATAAATATTATTGTGCGTAAAAGCACATGAACAATAACAAAACATAAAGAGTTCATTTTAACATTCAAAGGGTGATTCACTTTTAAATTCTTTCAGAAAACGATAGATAAGACGTAAAAATGTAACCTTTATATCAGCGGTCGGCAGCGCCCTAATAAGTGAGCATAGGGTTTTGTTCTGCCGCCGCGCTGCTCGCACATGTATAACGTAGAACAGCGGTCTGCACACACACATCGATGAGCTGCCCAGTGCAAATTACTCACACAAATATAAAACAAAGTGTCAACGTATGTGTGTGCCGACCGCTGCTTTATATCCAAAGTTCGTAGGGTGATTCACAATAAAAAGAGGGAATTTTTTATATAACTAAGTAAGTTATAATAAATATTATGCTATTTTATATTTTATACTCTAAATAACTCGTACTTGTATTCAACTTTTATTGCAATAATTTAGCAGCTCGTAAACTTATTAGCAGATAATTCTCAAGAACTCTAATCTATAAGATTTTCTTCGGGAATGTTTCACTTAGCAATTCTATAAATTCCGATCAAGGCGAAAAAAAACCACTTAAAGGTAAAACTCACACTAGTAGTCATCATTATAGGTTATCAGTACCACTTTTAGATCCATTTATTTACACTATTTCGTTATCTGAGCGGCGATGTCTAATAAATCCCCAAAACAATGCACACGTTGCCTTATCGCAATTGTTAAACCCCAAACACAGTGCACTTTACTATATAGAATGTTTATCTAGATAATAGTTATGTATATCGAAATACTCATTATGGCAAAAATGAGTACTTGGGAATTATAAGAAGCTTATAATAGCAATTAGAAATTTAACGAGGAAAAATCGAAATTTAATGATACAAAGGACATCAGAACACCCGTCATGGGAAATTAATAGAAGCATTAATCAATGGTTCTGTGGAATTACAAATTCATCTGGCTCTTCACAAAACACCATTTGTTTATGGTCAGAAAGGAAATGGCTCGTAAACTGGTGGGTGGATGGAGTCACCGGTAATTGCGTTCGAAAACCACGAAAATTTCCCGGAAATTTCCCGGGGGAAGAAATATTACAAAAACAAACAGCCCCGAAAAATAAAGCTCTCGTTTTGTTTGGCCTAGGTCATCAATTTCTTGGCGGGGTCAAGTTCTAATTATTTGGCTGTTTCTGCTCACCTGTTGAGGTGTCGTTCCAGTTGTTGTTGTTGCTGTTGTTGTGGGACTGCTGCCGGTTGATTTTCTGTTCTGCACATTATTCTCCTTATCGCCACCGTTCTTTTGCACCTGCTCATCCACTGTGTCACCTGGTTTCTGATTGAGCTTTTGCATCTCGGTCCTCTCGAATAATTTCGCATCTTTGCCGCCGCTGCAAAAAATGAGAGAAATGGCGAGAATAAATAATGGGTTATAAGGAAAAAACATATTGCTACATTTTAGATAATAATGGAGAACAAAAAAATAAGAAATCACATTTAATATATAAAAAGAACAACATTGAGTTTTAGTCAAACAAACATCACCAATAAATTAATATTTTCATTGTTTTGACTTTGATTTTGTATCACACACATAACTAATCAGAACCCGGTATTTATTATATATTATTTTAATATTGTTATTTCGATAAGTTCTTAAACATATGTTGAGCACAATAAAGTTTTGGTCCCAAGAGTTTCATGGGTGTCTTTATAAATATTTCCCATCACAACCACTGTCATTGCTTTTCCTTATAATTGGATCATCATACCAGCAGGGAATCATCGCGTTGATTCGATACATTATTTATCTAGAATGACTCATTCCCGGGCGGACTACGATTCCCGATTCCTCGAATCCGATTTCGTTAACGCTCGAGTTCCAACTGCAAAACCGAAAGCCGAAAACTGAAAACTGAAAAAAACTGACTAAGCGGGCGGACGGAATGGATGTGAATGCACAATCCGAAAGCAACAGTTGGCACACAATTCAGCGATTCAGACACACAGATACTCCGGCGAACACACACTGTGATACACAATCAGCTGATAAGCTTATCAGCAACGGTACACAGAGAGAAATGGGATATTTTTTAAATGGTTAAAGAAAAATAAAATTATTTTTTGAATAATAAATAATTTAAAAAATGTATTTTATAATTTTAAACAAACAAAATAAATATCTGCGATTTTTTATTTATTATATTTAACCATAAACTCCACAATAAACTGAATTCAAATCGATTTCGAAAATAGTCCCTGGTTTATTTCTGTGTATAGAAACAATTGCAAGCATTTTACACTGCAAAGGCAGGGAAAAAAAAATAAAAGGAAAAGCTACTCAGGTGACGTCGTCGTCGTTCGATCGGCAAATGAGCGCACTAAAATAAAACTCCGATCGGTGGAAGTTTATTATTTGGCCAGACGACGAATGTCGCCGCTGCCTCTATTGATTTTGGTGTGTAGTTTGTTTGGTTTTTCAATTCAAATTTCAAAGTGATTCGATAACCGGTTTCCAAGGGGGTGGAGTGGTGGGCACACATTGTTTAGCTATTAGCCGCAAAGTTTGATTAATTATATAGAGGCGTGAGTTCAATGAGCAAGCCAAAAGGCATTTTAGCCTTACACTGGACAACAAAGTTGCGACGTGTGCTTCTCTCCTAATCAGTGATGTCATTCTAATAATTAATAAATCAGAATCAATCAAAAGCTAATTCATAAAAAGGCACTTGTGCTATAAATATATATTGACTATTAATTAATCAACAATCAATTTCCTTCAACTTGGGACAATGCGAGAGATAAGATATTAAATAATTTATACTAAACAAAACAAACTGAATGCTAATAGATAGGAATATTGGCATGTATTAATTAGGTTGAGCTCTATATAATACAACTATCCAAAGAAATGGGTTTTTAAATACTCTAATTGTTTGTTGATTTAGAAAAAAAAACCAAATTAATTATAAATATTCCACCTTTTTAAACCTTTTTAATTTCTATTGAAATGTGAATTTTTTTTCTAACTTTGTAGGTTGCCATCGATTTCAAGTCTCAACCCTCCGTTCAAGTGTAAACTGCACTCGAAGTGCACTTTTGTCGTCACAGTTCGGGTAATTAACTCAACGGGGAGCACACTTTCAATTAGGGATGGGTTCCGAATGGGGGTCAACTCACTTGGCATCCGATTCCAGTTGCTGCTGTTGCTGCTCCATCGATTGCTGGGTGGAGAGTAGATACTGGGTGCGGGCCTCGTCGTGGCTCTTCTTCTTCAGATCGTACATCTTCTGCCGCTCGTGCTCGATTACCTGATGACCTGTGGGGGCGTAAATAGGAATATAAGTAATTGTTTCAAGACATCAAATGTATAATGTATAATTTTCATTAACAAAAATATGAGAAACAGGAAGTACTGGGAATCACTGAACCGAATTTGAGTACCAGCTTGATTCTTAAGCAAAACCAAATCGATTCTGAGATCCATTGAAGCGAAGCAATACTAGTTTTCTATTTTTCTACTTTTCAAGACACTTTCAAATATTTTTAAACTTTAAAAGCAGATTCCCGAATACAATTTTTAATCTATAACCTAAGCTCTAGACTTTTTTCGTACCCTGCTGGGCCAGCAGAAGCTTGCGATTCCTTTCGATCTCCTTGATGCTGTCGAAGATCTTGGTGCTCGCCCCCTGACTGGTGGAGATGGGCGCATCGTTGGCCACCTTGCAGCTGCGATCGATGTCGTCCTGCGAGGGCACGCGTCGCTCCAAAGGATTCACCTCGAAGCGATCGCCCTGCAGCGAGAGATTGAAGCTGATCTGCTCGCAGCTGCCGCCGCCCAAATCCTCGAACAGCTGGAGCGGCAGACGCTTGGGCGTGCTGGTGTTGGCCTCGATCTTGTGATGGTAGAACATATTCTCGTTGATGCTCTTCGACATCAGATCCTCTTGGTTCCGTCGCTTCGGGCAGAGCAGTTCAGCGGAGCCGAACAGGGACTGCGACATCACGCCGTTGACCAGATTGCTGCCGGTGGATCCTGGCGAGCTGGGCTGCGAGCCGGGCGGCTCCTCCTCCTCATCCGGTCCGATTTGAATGCGCAGAGCGGCCAGTTCGGCTTCCAGGGCCAGACGCTGCTCCTGTCGCTTGAACTCCTCGTGGCTGGCATGGTGCTCGGACTCCTCCTCGAAATACTGAAACTCCAGGTCCTCAAAAGTCTTTCTATCGCTCTCCAGGGACTCGCACACCAGCTGCAGCTCCTCCTTCAGGCAGGCGTTGTTCGGTTTCTGCTTCAACATGGCTCGCAGTCTGTAAGGTTAATGATTATTTAAATAATTTCCCATTTTGGCTGATAGGTCACTCACTTCTTCAACTGATCCTGCTTCATTTCGATGGACTGCTTCAACTTGGCCTGCTGATTCTCCTCCATGACGCGAGTGGCGTTCCTTTGGGCCTCCAGGCGGCGTACGCGATTCTGCAGGGCCTGCAGTTGCAGTCGCGGCGAGGCACTGGCGGCCAGGGGCTGCTCACCCAGTTCCAACTGAAAGAAAGAAGGGGATTACTTTAAGGACTTTTTAAAAAGGCAGATTTTCTGATTGATTTTGACAATAGCTATAGCTTTTAGTTAAAAAGGGATCTACTATTATGGCTTTTAAAATAAAAATTACAAAATAATAAATAATATTTAATTTTTATAAAAAAAATATTGGAAAATAAGTTTAATTTTCATAAGCCAATCAAAAAGTAAAGGCCGCGTATTCACCATTTATTATACGTATCTTTAGTTAAATTAGGTATGAACCATACAAATAAATCCTCTTGACTTAAGAATTCGCGGTTTTTAAAGACTCTATATAAATTATATCTTCCGTTTAGCTGTATACTTCACTCAGGCTAATACTCTTGTTCTAAAGAATTCGCGGTTTATAAAGAATTCATTTTAATTAAATCAATTTAAAAATATATTTTATGATGACCGCGAATTCTTAAGAACAGGAGCATCTTAACTTTGTTTGGACATTTCTCTTCTTGGCTCTTAAGTTAAGTTAGGTTAAGTTATGTATGAACCACACAAATAAATCCTCTTCTCTTGAGAATTCTCGGTTTTTAAAGACTATATATTTTTAATTAAGCTGTATAATTAACTCAGGCTGATACTCTTGTTCTAAAGAATTCGCGGTTTATAAAGAATTAATTTTAATTAAATCAATTATAGCAAACATATATTTTATGATGACCACGAATTCTTAAGAACAGGAGAATCTTACTTTGTTTGGACCGTTTTCTTCTTGGCTTTATAATTATGGATTCTAGTCTAGAACTATGGGTTTTCGAGGCTATTTGCTACCCACCTCGAGTCCCTCGATTCCCGCCGAGGGCGGCAGTTCGGCCAGCTCCTGCTTGAGCTGCTTGCGCCGCTGGATGAGCTCCCGCCGCTGGCGTTGCTCCAGGTGAATGCTGCGCGGTGCCGGCGCTGGCTTCCTGCTCGGCTTGGGCGACTGCGTCTGGGACTCCAGGGACTGGAGATTCAGGGTGAGATTGTTGATGTTCTTGTTGCTCCGCTTGGCGGGCACCATTCGATCCAGTTGCTGCTGCTTGCGCTCGAAGGACTTGAAGAGCTGATCGTAGTCGCGCTGCTGATTGGGAGCCGGTGGCTTGGGTGCCAGCGGTGGCTTCACCATGGGAATGGGAATGGGTATGGCTATGGGTTTGGAGGCGGAGACCACTGCCATGGAAGCCTGAGGCGGTGGACTGATGGCCAGGGCGAAGGCGTTGCCGAAGGACACATCCTTCTTGGGCGACATGCAGTTGGTGCGGATCTTGGTCCTCGGACTCTGGGGCACATACTTTGTGGCCGAGTTCGGGTTCTGGTTAAGATTCTCATGACTGGACCTTACGGCCGCCGTGGGAGGCGCTCCACTGGATCCGCCCCCTCCGCCTGCTGAGGCTGGCACATGGATTTGCCCATTGATCTCCACACGATTCGGTCCCAACAGCCGGACATTCTCGTAGCCCGACGAGCTGCTCAACAGAGAAACATTCGCCGTGCTGCCTCCTGATCCTCCTGCCTGCTGTGGAAACGGTGACTTGTTCTTGTCGCGCGGCAACGAACCGTTGGTTTTAATGCGATTCTGGACAATCGGTGACGACGTAATGCTGGATGTACTCGAAGTATTGTGTTGGCTGCTGGGTGCTATGGTGCTATTATTCCGATCGGCATATTCCGTGCAGATCTTGAGCATATCCTCCAGTTCGGCTCCTCCATTGTTGATATCGCTATTCACGCCGTTCATCGAGTAGATCTGCAGGCCACCCGCCTTGGGATAACGATCGTAGCGATCGTTGTTCACCTTCGTGAGGAGATCCTGTTGCTGCTGCTGCTGCTCCTTGTAGATCGCCGCATTGCTGGGCACATTCCAGTAGCCACCGTGACTGCCACCCACTCCCTTGGCGAACTGGTTGTTCAGCTGCTTCTCGTTGCGATGATTCTCGGCGAGATTGCGGGCAAAGCTGGCGTATTTCTGGCCCAGCACATCCTTGGCCGGCATGTTGACGGTGACCAGGTCGGAGGTGAAGACCTTGGGGCACTCCAGTTCGTAGGTGGTGGCGGCGGAGGAGGATGTCTGATGGTTGATTGGATTTATGATGCTCTCGTAGAAGGATTCCAGCTCCAGCGATTGACTCAGCTCGTGCGCCTGCCGCGCCGATTGCGTGAAATCGATCTGGGGCATCGAGATCCGCTCGTTGGAGCCCATCGCCGAGCGCATCATCTGCGCCTCGTCCGGATTGTTGAACCTCAGGTAGTTGGAGTTGCCGATCGTGATCATCGCCCCCTGGCTGAGCTTCGTCTCCTCCAGAATCGGAGACCCGTCGATCAGCAGGCGGGAATCCTTCTCCGGCACCAGGGTCACTTCGTTGGCGTCGCTCCTGCAAAATAATTATGATGATTTTAGTTCGATTGTAGCCTTTTTTAGAATATAGATAATATTTCTCTAGTATAAAAAATTATGCATCTTTACTTTTAAATTTAATTTATTAGGTATATAATTATTTTATCATGAAACAAATTTATTTATTTATATAGTTGTCTGATAGATCTCATTTTGGACTCTATTAAAAATATAGATAATATTTCTCTGGAATAAAAAATGATGCATCTTTACTTTTAAATTTAATTTATTATATCATTATTTTATCATGAAACAAATTTATTTATTTATATATTTGTCTGATAGGTCTCATTTTGGACTCTATCAAAAATATAGATAATATTTCTCTAGAATAAAAAACTGTGCATCTTTACTTTTAAATTAAATTTATCATATAATTATTTTATCACAAAAACAAATTTATTTGTTTATATTTTTTTTATAGCTTTTTTTGTTTATATGGGTCTAAAAAATGTACATTATCCCTTTATAATTAATCACATGGTTTTTCTAATGCATACATATGAGGTTTTTGGGAAACTTTCAATTTAACAATTATTCAATTTACAAAAATTGACCTAAAAATGTTGTATACCATATTAAACTTAAAAATCGAGTCTTTTTAAGTGGATCTAGGATGTACATAGGTAAAGGACTTATTACCTGTAGATGGTGCAGTGCAGCGGACGAACGCCACTTCCATTCAACGAGATGCTGCAACTGGCTGCCGATCCAATCGTCGTATCACCTAAATGGAAATTCGAATAGTCAATTATATTAGTTCTTTAAGACTCGGATTCGAAACCGAAAGTTTCGCGTTTGAAGTGGTTTTCGGTAATGTGAGGTTGGAATATTTCAACAGTCAGTTCAACAGTATTTCTTATCTCTTTTCACATCTCTCTCTGATTTTTTTGGGAACAAACAGCATATTCTTAACTTCTCTCTGTTTTTTGGTACAGTGGTAGATAACTTTTTTTTTAATTATTGAAAAAACTTAAAATGACATGAATTAAGATTTTGAAAACTGAGCGAACAATTTTTAAAACAAATATTTTTAATTTAGAAAAACTGGCATTTAATTAACTTTCCGTTTAAATAATTTTAATATAAAAAAGATTTTTGAAAATAATTTAAATTAATTTTTTAATTTAAATTAAAAATAAATCTTGACTATAATTTTATTACTCATTTTATTTAAATCTTTTCAATACTTTTCACCCCATTGTAAACTTAAAAAATGAGCTTATCACAGTTTGCTCACCAATTTTGTTGTCTTTTGTGCGTTGCTTTCGCAAGACTTTTCTGTGTGCGCTACTTGTTATTGCTTTTTTTTCGGTACTTTGCTTATCGCTTTACAAGTGACCTTGCCAGGGCAAAAAAAAAATATAATAAAAGAGAAAGAGCAAGAGCGAGAGAGAGATGAAAAACGCGCACGCGTGGCCGCAGCAACAAACCGAACGCAAATGACACGCGAGAGAGGGAGAGGGACGCAGTCGCGTAACGGTGCGTGTCCAGTGGACTTTGTTAGAGATGGCCTCGTGTCACGAAACACGAACAATGTAAAATAATTAAAATTAAAGTGAGTTCAATACCTTACAGTTCCTAAAAAATATATCCACAAAAAAAAACTGGCTTTTAAATTTGTTGTAATTTACTGACAGACAGACACATGTACTTTTACCATTTAATAAATAAATAAAATAAATTGATAAATAAATAAATTCTGTGTCACGAGCAGTAAGTCCATCCCCCAGACTCACCTATGTGTATGTAGTGGATGGTGACGGCGGTGCTCAGCCGTCCGCCGCCCAGAGAAACGAGATGCGGATCCGAGGCGGCGACTCTCAGCGACGGATCCTTTTTCGTCAAGGACATCTGCAAAGAGAGAAAGAGAGCGGGAATTAAAGGGGCGCTCGAATGAATAATACCAGGAATGCCCAGTGTCATATGGGAGTTGCCTGGGCAGCTGGCCGGTAATTGTTATTGGGTTTTCTCTGTATTATTTTTTTTTTGTTTTTGGTTTTGGCACACTGTTAAGGGATTTCCAGGGGTTCCCTCATTACAAATGGATGTGTGTGTGCCAGCACGTGCTCTTGAAAGGGAGGAAATTCCACAGCTGTGCTGAATTTTTAATATTTTACACGTAAATACACGGTGAAAAAAAGTAAAAAATTTAATTACTACAATATTATTATTATTTTTTTTAATAATAATCGCACTTTTGTTTAAAGACCCTTTGCAATCTATTCAAAATAATTTGTAATCTTTTTTTTAACACCGTCTTTTCCAACTATCCCCATGTTTATTGCCGCTTGAGTGCTGTTAAAACTGTTTTCCCAACTTCCGAATGATGTCATATGCAGTGACTGACCCCCCTTTTCAATCCGATTGCTGACTCAAACTCACGCACTTGTAACTGATAAAGTTGCACTCGCAACAGTAAAAAAAAAAAAGTATAAAAAATGGGAAAAGCAGCAAAAACAAAAACATCAATCAAACGGCGACAAGAAATGGTGGAAAATGATTTATGCGCAGTAATACATATGAATGAATATATGGTTATGTGAGTTTGTTTTTTATATTGAAAACTTTATCAGGCAAACAACGTGCGCTCCCATTTTCCAGCTATCCAATGTGGACACATAATGTGAAACGGTCAACTGAGTATATGGCAGCCACACACGATGGTCCAACGACTAACAAAGTTATGGAATTATCAATGACATGATCGCAGTGACCATAAAATCATATTTCAACAGGGGCGCAAGCTGGATTTTTTCCAAAGGGGTGAACCAAAATTGCACCTTTATTTTTCCGATTAACCGCACATAAAACCAGATTTATCCCGAAAAAATAAATCAATATTAAGTGCAACCTAATAACTAAATTTTCTAGTGATCCTAGGCTAGCCCCCAAAAATCCCCCTGGCTATGACACTGGATTATAATGATGATCATGATGCCGACACTTAATCGCAGTCGCCTTTTTGACGTCGACCACTTTTGGTTTTTATGACCCAATTCGGACTGTTTCAGCTTCGTTTGCTTCACTCCAGATTTTCGGGGAGGGGGAAATGCTGGCCGGGGGATAGAAAGATGGGGCCAAAAGGGGGGCCCACATTTCGTAAAAAGTGAGGAGGGGGAATACCCGCAAACGCAACCATTTCCGCGCCCCAAAAATAAAAGTGAAAAGTTTTTTTTGTTTGTATGCCCAGTGATACGACTTCCATATATGTATGTTTTACCTGTTGTATCTCTTCTTTTCGGCGAGTGTATGTGTGTTGTGCCCCTTATCAAAAGTCCGCATTTCTCATTTATTTGTTTATTGTTGATTGATTAGGCTCATAACGTATTCGCCTCCAATGATTCAAGCCAACATATTCCATAATAAATCCCATATCAGTGGTTTATAAATATGGGTAAGGGAGTTCAATTTCCTTCCTCGATTATCAATAGAAACGTAAGAGCTTTTGATGGTAATGGAATTATATTTAATGGAATATATATTTTTTTATTATTTATTCTTCGATTACGAAAATGTTAGATAATAGATCAAAGGACTATTGGCATTTCTTGCACAATTATTTTAAATGCATTTTCCAGTTGCATGTCATCCTCCGAATCCCATTTCTTAACCCATTGAGCGCTACTTTCGCTTTCCGTCTAGACGCTTCTTCAGTTTTTCTTTTTTTTTTTTTTTTTGTTGGTACCCCATCATCATCAGCATCATTATAATCACGATGATGAGCGACTCTGGGGGCTGCATCATCAACATCAACCGATCATTACAACAAAACATTACGAAATGCATTTTAGCTTTTGCTTTTATTTTATTTTCTTTGCCTCGCTTTTCTTCTCGCTTCCCTCAAATTCTGTGGCACGTCATCTTGTGTTTGACTGGGCAAAAGAAAACTAAAGGAAAATCCACAAGATGTGTAATAAATTACACCGAAGAAAGGCGAGACAACAAAGGCGTTTTTAAAGTGAATCAAATGGTCTGGAATAGTCGGTTCGGTTTGGTTCGGCTCGCAGCAAACAGAAACCAATTCAAATTCAAATCCCAAAATGAGTCAGAGGAAGCGAAGACCAAGATGCGTTCCACACATCCACAATTGCCTCCTTTTTTATTTCTCTACGATTTTTTCTGTGCTATTGTAAGCTCTTTATTGCGGCCAACAACAAAGGTATTTCAATTTTATTGAGATAAGATAAGGGCAAACGGAAAATCATCGAAAGAGTCGGCAGAGATATGCCGCGAAACGAGCATTATGTAAAAGCCCTGGGCGATAACAAACATACTTTTTTGAACACCGGCCGGTTAGTAAATATATAAATAATAAAATAAAATTTAAAAAGAAAATATACAAGTTTTGGTTCTTAATTTTTTATGGTAATGCCGAAAAATTAAGAAGTAAAACTGTATATTTATTTTAATTTTGATTTTATAGTTTTCTATTCCTATTAATTTATTATTTAATATTTAAATTTCTAAAGAAATAAAAACCTTTTTAAAGGTACAGAGTTAAAAATGTTATATTTCTGAATCTCCATTATTTTAACCCCTGCTGTGCCCTTAAACGGGAACCATTATGTGACACGTGTGTGGAGTGGAGGGTTAGGGAACTCGAAAAATATGGCATGGGTCTATAAAGATGTGGCATCTTTAGTCACAAGGCAAATAATCAAACAAAAGAGTGTCAACGCAATTAACAGTTTCCTTTTTTTCCCTTATTTTTGCCATCTCGTTTCCCCCTCGTTAACCCCTCGATCGCCCACAAATTCCACGTCCCTCCCCGTTTTAATATAACCCCCTTTTACCTTTCTCGAAATCCCCCACAAATGGTTCGACTTCAGCCTGATGAGCTCCCTCTGATGATGAATACATTTTTGCCATTTTTAGTTGACTTTATTTATAGAGAGCAAACACAGCTGGTAAATATGCCTCCCTTGCTCCCCCATCGGTTGCACGGGAAAAAACGAAGGTCATTTTGGACCCTGTGTTTTTATAAGGGATAGTTTTTGATGGAAATGCATAGTTAGATATTTTTTATTTAGATAATAAACACTGAATTTACTAATTGTCAGCATAATCTCTATGAAAACTATAAGAAACTTTCGATTAATTAAAAAAAAATCGTATTCGCTTGTCCAGCTTTTTTTTAAGTGTAAAAGCTATATGCAAGGTGCATTACCAGGCCAACTGTCAATATTTTCAATTGGCGCAAAAAACTCGGTTTGTTTGTTTGCTTTTTTTTGGGTTGCTGTCAGTTTTGGCTCCATTTCAGTGCCAAAAAATCCAACGCATTCCACAGACAAGTTTTCTATTTTTTTTTTTAAGTTCGCGGGGGCTGGTGGGCGTGGTCCGAGGGCGTTTGCTAATGGCATTTCGCTGTTTCAAAGCCAAACAAATGCCAAATGTAAGCCAGTGTATGGAATTCAGCTTGAGACGTGACCCGAACAAGGGAATTAAAACCCTTGGATAGACCATACATATAAGAACTTCCGGTAATTGGAACTCCACTCAAAAGTACAAGTTGTGGTTCCAATGCACGTTCAAGGAAAAATTCGAATACGTGTCATAAAATAGACAAAAAAAATTCGTTATAAAAACATTTAAAATGAATAACCTTTGATTTTAATTATTATATCATTCGGTATATCTAACTAAATTTAAAACAATTTTTAAATCGAGGAAAAATAGTTTAATTTTAAATTACTTAAAAAATCCTTATTTTAAAAGATAACTAAGCTTATCATTTTCATTCATTTACATTAGTAACTGAAAAATATTTATTTTTAGCAAAAATAAGAGTGTGATTTGTGGTGTATAATTTGTAAAATCTTATGATTAACATGAATCATAATAATAATCATGTGTAATCCGCTAAAAATGCGACCACATTTGGAGGGTACAACGCACACCTTATCTTAAGTTAAGCATATTGAGAGCACGAACCATAAATAAATGCTCATGTTTACCCATTTGAGTACCTTAAATATCTCAAGACCTTCGGGGACATCATATAGTATGAAAAGTCAAATGTGGAACACGATTTTGGTACCAACTAACAACTGAACAAGAGACATATGCATATGGCTGACACAATTGCGAGCTTATTTCGTGGCTATAAAAATATGCAAACATAATTATCTATGCAAACCGAAATAAACGTTTGAATTAAAATCATCTGCAAAGCGTAAGCAAAGCAAACAGAAAACAGAACCCAATAAAAGCCACAATTAATACATTTTGAAAAGTACGGTGAAACTTTTATAATTTAAATGACAGCAATAAGTACTTTTTTAATAATAATATATTCATTTATTTAGATTTATGATTTAACTAATTACATTTTTTTATTACTTTACGATTTTATTTGCGAATTACAGTAATACTCGATTAAAATATTTTAATATATTATAATGAATTTATTAATTTTTTTAGGCTTTTACTATGATTTAATTTTATTTTTTGAAAATACTTTTTCTTGTCGAATTAATAAAGTTCACCTGTATTTTCCGTTTTTTTTTTGCGAAGGTCAGTCGGCACAGTTACGTGCGTGAAATTAAACATAAATAAATAACAGAGACAGCTGGGAGTGGTGAAATGGGGGACGTACGCCCATGCCTCGTGCATAACAAAGTGCAACCCACTTTTGCCACCACGCCCACGCCCCCTTTTTCCGCTTAATAATAAATAATGTGTGAAAATTATCGTCGCGTTTATTTCTTACCTGTCGCAAAGTTGATGATTGTCTAAGGGTTTTGTTGTTCTATTGCTGTGACACAGTTTTAAGTCCATTAACATGCTCAAAACTCCACCCACGTAAAGAGAAGGGTAACTGTGAATTGTGGGCGCCACTTGGGGCTGTCAAA